TCATTATTGTTTGTTTGTATCAATGTATAATTTTATTTATGTTTTGAAAGCAACATTTCTTCGTTTCGCACAAAAAATTACAATTCTTACGAAGTCTCTTTAGAAATGTGATCGAATGATGAGTCACATGAATTGGCTACATTTTGACCGTTCTATTAAACCAAGTTGTGTGACAATGAATAATTTAAATCAAGTTTGCGCTCATTCATGAACGTTAGACATAAAAACCTGCAAATTTAGTGCAAGTTGTTGTTTTTATCCAAATGTATTTGTGTTTGCGAGCGACCATGATCGTGTTATCGATAACTTTATCTTCCAACAATAAAAATAATTTGACATTTAAGTTTGAATTGTTTTTCTTCTTCGATACATTTTACTACATTTCCTCCATTACCAAAAAACCGCCACACGAGCCAAAATAAGCTACTTATCATTCAACAGCAGCAATAACAACAACAACAACAACAGTAGCATTTGTAACAGAAGAACTGCGTTGAACGTATTCGGAATAAATCAACGGTCGATGATCGTGCGTACTTGATCGAATTAAATGTAATTATATCACGCTTCCTTCATTTGCATATTCCAAAAATGAACCCAAAATTCGATCGAACACCGTCTCTGTCGAATTAGATAAGTAAAACGTTGTTTTTTCGAAGAAAAAAAAGACCTGCGAAGGATAAAGACTTATTCTGAGAAGCAAAAATTGTCATTCTTCATTCGATTCAAGTTCAGTACAATTAAAATATAAAGGCTTCCGATTTCCTTCAAGATGATCTTTTAACAACGAAAACAATGAAATTGAAGGATTCTCACATAGAATTTTACTTGAATAGAATTGATTAAGTTGCTGCAAGAACGAGGCATATTGTTTGCCTGTGGCATAAGACCTTTTTTTGGATGCTGCGCGCTGACGAAAACGAAGAAAAAACATATGTGCGAACATCTCGGTGATAATGAGAGAGAGAGAGAGCGAAAAATATTTCCAATGACAAAATATCGATAAAAACGTATACTGACAGACAGACATACATGCGAGGTGTACTTCATCATAATTTATTTAAATACTTTTTCGTGATTTGCCTTTTAGTGCTTGGGCATGATATCGTTAAATACTTGACTTTTTTTCTCTTCAAAGTTTAACCACATAATCACACGCAGCGTATCATGAAAAAGCTGAAATAAAACACACAATTATTCCCATAAAGTTCATAATCGGCGTAATTTTTGTAGTTTGTAAGCGCGACAAACATAGTTTTTTTTATTCATTTCTGTGAAAAATATGATAAAATGAATCAGATTGAATGTCATTGGTGGAACAGTGGTGGCACTTGAATTATATGTGCTCGCAGTTCCATTTCACGAACCGAATGTGAAATTTTCAATTCAAAATAACACCTTCAATAAGTACCAAGGCAACGACATCGGACAATGGCCTTTCAACACTGTTTTTCTTCTTTTTATCGCAGAAAAGGATGCCTGCCGGCTACACAAGCACTTTTTTTGCCACAAAGTGCATACAGTTTCAATTCAGTCATAGTAATATGATCGATTTTTCTGGAGGGACAAAGGAAAAGTATTTTGATGAACAAAATTGAGTCGAAAACATTCAATTTCTTATGATTGAAATGTGATATTAAATTTTTTGCCTTTCCATTTCAATAATAAGTATATATCTACTTATATTCAAATATTATTTTTTTAATAATTTGATACTAAAATGAAGGGAGATGAAAGTCCGTATACCCCCGACTTATGTTCATGTAATGTGATCTGAATTAATCAATCAATTTCTGATTGAAATTTATTTCGGAGGATTTTCAATAAATTTCTGATAAGTTTCTTCATTCGTAAAATATGCTTTCGCTGTAGCTTCAGTTGCATGAGGTAACTTTTGGTGGAGTGGTTGATTTTTAAGTAATTGGTTAATGTGACCATCCCGATAGACTCTATATCCCTTTGGATATTCTGTGCATTCTGGACCCTGTAAAAACTGTTTAGAGAAATATAGTCCGTTTGGGAGTGAAGCAAAACTCGTACGAGACACAGCCTGTTCAAAAAAGAAAATCAATATTTTCCGATTATTATTATAGTTACCAATATCATATTTTCACTTACCAAAATTAACAATATGGCGGATAAAATTATTTTGAAATGCATGATGAGAGTTTTGGAAATTTGTGCAAAAATTCGTAGCGAATGAAACCTAGAGAACGGAGTCCTTGCATTTATAGTCGATACAAATGATATTGCTTTAATGATGAATCACTTTTCTTGTTTTAATAGAAATAATTGTTCATTACAGCAATATCTTAAATATCTATTGTTTTACCCCATTTAGCTGACTTACCAGTTAGTTCAATATATTGTCTGCTTAAAAGTAATGCTGTTGCTGGCACTATTCTTGTGAGTGTCTCTCTTCCTCGTCTTCCGGTCTCTTAATAGTGTCCGCACTTCTCCGGTGCCAATAGCTTTGCTCGCAGATAAAAAATGATACATAAAGAGTCAATATGAATCGGTTAGAATATTCGTGAGCTCAGGAAATTTGTTAAAGTAAAAGAGCAACATGTTCATATAAAAAATGGGCACGTTGCAGTTTTATTTTGACAAATTTCTTGAGGTCACAAATATTCTAGGTGGTTCATATGATCTCTAAAATTTCGAATTAATTTATTAAGAAAAACTAAGCAACCCGAACCCGACTAAATCTCATCGTTATAAGTAAACATGGAAGTATTGCAGTACGCAGTAAACGCATACCGCAGAATCATACATCGGGTCATAAATGATTTCATTCATGTTTCACATTGCGATTATTTGCAAATGATTTCAAATTTGGTTGTTTTTCGGCGTTGTTAGTATTGATGGAGTGAATGATTGTTGAATGATTCATTAAAAAAAATGTCGTCGCATTCATTCTTTCAATTTTGTTCACACCATGTCGATCACATTCTTTGGGAAAAAAACACACATCGAGTGTTAATTAACAAAAGTTTCCTTTCATTAAAAATGCCAGAAAAATAAATCAAAATTGAAATATTTGACGAGTTTGGAAATAATCGATGGAATGGTAGCACAGAAAGAAAGAAAATATAAAGAAGTATAAACAACAAATTTGCGACCACTCTATTGCATGCACAATGTTGATGACTTATCGCGGTTATTATTACGTTGCAAATGATTTGCGAATAGAGAGTATAAAATTCACACACAGTGAGCCAGTACATACAGGCTTATGTGTTATACAATATTTTCCCTTGACAATGTACACGATTGCGCGCACTTATACAAGTCGCATATCGGATGTATGAATTTCAAGGGTTTTATTTACAAAAAAAAACATAACAAATCACTTCCATTCAAAACACCGAAAAAAAGAAAGAAAAAACAGCAACACAGTTAAATTGCAATTTAATCTGCATTGATTTCGAATGTCGAGTGCACGCTCTATACTATTGTCGAATAGAGCGCTTTATAATAGAGCTATCAAACGATGCTTGATCAATAAATCAATGTTAACCGTTAGATTCCCCTTAGCGTTCACTCTCTTTCTCTTTGGTTTTTAAATTGAACTAGATAGATTGCTCGAAGAAGCGTGTCGACAGTTGGCGATTAGTTGCATCGTTTATGTCTGTAAATTTATTGTCTCTTTCTTTCTTCACTGTCGGCCTTTTTTCCAAACGGTTTTTCGAAATTACAGGCAATTTGAATGCCTAATTTGGATTTATGGCTCGATATCGAGAAATGACGAATGAAAAATTAAGTGAATATCGTTAAATAGCAAAATGCTGTGGGCCATTTTATTGTTTTGCCCTTTTTTTAGGAAATGATTTTTTTTGCTGGAGAGATTTTCAAAATCACGTCAATTGTGTGATGAGTGGAAAATAAGCTTTAAACAAAAAGGAAAAAAGATAAAGCGATAAAGAGAGTTTAATGAATCGAAATTGGCAACTGGAGAAATGGACTGACTGATAATGATTTTACCCTTTTCCAAATGAAAAACTTATTATCATTTTTGTTGCTGAACACTTTCATCTTTTAAAATTTTAAATTGCATTTGAAAAACGCATAATTTCTACAAATTATGTGCACCAATCATAATTGCCATTAACTCGGAAGAAGCAAAATAATCCCAAATAAGTCTTTTTTTTCTTCATTTCTTCAATACACGCAACATGCATATACACTTATACAGACAGACAACATACAATATTTGTCGTACGCATATTACACGGGAGAAATATCAGCGAGAGTTTGCTCATCATCATCGTAAGCGTTTAGTCGGTCGTGTGCGATTTGTATGCTTAGCTATGATTTGCCAAATGTGTCGTAGTCGTTGTGTGAGTTAGCGCATTTTATTTCGTATTGACGACAGTCCAAAGCGCATATACTACACATTCAAATTGTATCCACATGACAAAAAACGCCAGACACAATATACGTAGCTAGAAAAAAAAGCTAGCACCGCGATATCGAATGTAATGAGTGAGTATGTGCTGTGCACAGAGTAAGTTGTGTGGCTCTCATTCGGGCACACGGTCGCAGTCAGTAGGTGAAAGCAAGCGAAAAAGAGACGCACCGATGAAAACACAAAATGAAAATGTGGTTGAGTAGTGGGAGCCATGAGTATAAAACCGGCATTAATTGACTCAACTATTTCAGTCTTTTGAAAATTATTGTAGCGTATCCATCGAAAGTACTACACACACACAACACAATCTTTTTTTTTGTTTTCTTTCTCTCACATACACTCTCTTCTCCCCGAAAACAAAAAATAATAATAATACAGAGCTATAATTCAAATTGTGTTCGGATTTACTTTCTTTTTTTCGTAACGTTTTTTTTTTTAATTTTATAATTTTTTTCGTCATCGACGGAACTAAAAAAAATTTCAACGCTCGTCATACCAACCAACAAAAAAAAAGACCAGACAACACCGAAAAAAGAAAGAATCCAAATTTAAATGTTCTATGCAAATAAATCAAATTAAAAACAAAACTACTTAAGTCCACCTTCTTGTCAAATGAATTCATAAAAGTTTTGTGCGCGAAATTAGAAAAGAAAATACGGTAATAGTTTCAGTTGAAATTCAAATTACAGTGCAACCCACAGAAAGTGAACAATTCAAAGACAAATTCATCAAATTGTGCAATTGATACACAAACACAGAGAAGAAAAAAAATTAGAACGCAAAGGTGAAAATAACAGTCAGTTAATGAACATTTAAATATTTATGTGCGGAAGATATGCGCACGCAATCCAAAGCAACAAAAACAATACGACAACAAGACGTTTCTCGAATCAATTCGTTAATTTAATTTAGAAAATTAAACACTTTATTGGCTACGACATTAAAGAGACAAAACAAACCAAAACAAAAAAGAATTAGTGTCTGTTCGGTTATCAAACAAACAGAAAAAAAACTTCTAAACGAGAAAAAAAGCAGCGACAAACACACATGGGCTATATTTGTTTGTCTCGAACTCTATTTTTTTTTGTCATAAACGGTTACATAGTAAAGTGCTTCTGAAGTAATAATCCATTGACTGAAACTCGATGAAAGCATTATTTTCTGTGGCCTCTTATTGTATGTGAACATTGTGCAAAGAAACGAAATAGAGAAAAACAAAATCGCTGCAAACAAACCCGAGAAAACGAAACGAAAAAAAGCAGAAAGAAAAAGAAAAAAATAACAACAGATATTCCATTCGAAATACCGAAAATTTAATAAAAAGGAAAGCACTTACAGAGAGAGAAAAAAAAGAAAGTATTTTTTTTCGTAAATATTTCTTTCGCAGTTTTCCTCACACCAAAACTGAGCGAGAGATACACGACGCTGTGACTACGTTTAGACTGAACTATTGCGAAAAGAAAAAAAAGCAGCAAAAGCAGACAAAACAACAATGCAACAATAACAAATAGCAGTAAAGTGTAAGCGTTATAAAAATACAGAGGCGAACATCGAAGAAGAAGTAGAAAAAAAAAACACTTTCATTGAATTCGTCGTTGTCGTCGGCGCATATTTTCTAAAGGAAGAAAATAAATAAATTTAAAGCAGAAAAAAGCGAGTCAGAAAGAAATTTCGACCCCGAAAAAGATTTTTTAAAAAATACTGAAAAAGGCACACACCAAACAAACAAATAGTACGAAATTTGTTTTAGCTGAAATAAATAAAAAAAAAGCAGCAGCAGCAACCGTGTGATAGTTTTGTGAAAGTGCATAGAAAGACAATTACATTGAATGAATAGAGAACAGTGCGATTCATTCGGCGTATAATTTTAAAACGAAACAAAGCAAATCGCGAAAAAAAATCAATTGAACTGTTTAACAACACGCGCGAGCGCGAGGCCAAAACCATTGCATTTGAATCTATTATCGATTAGAATTAAACGGATAAATTTCATGCAAATTGGAGAAAAACAAACCTTTCAAATTTAAAAGCGCAAATCGACACACATTTTGAATTGCAACCAAAATAATAGTTTAATAAAACAAACAAGACAATTTACTCAGTTGATTGATCACAACTGTAGTGTTGAATAAAAAAAATAGACCATATCATAGTACTTCCACATACAATTGGAGTTCCCCCTTCTCTCTCTTGTACTGTGATCTATTGAATTGAAGAGAGAAAGAGAGAGAGAGAAAGCTCCAGATAGAACAGAATATCGAATTCCGTTGTAAAATATCAAGAGACTCAATCAAAACAAAGAAGAAGAAGATAAAAAAAACCAGCAAAAATGTCATCGAAACAGCAACAAAAGTCAGTTGATCTGATCGAATTCTGTACGAATTCGGGCGATAACATGGATGTGTTGGATAAACCAAACACGGGCGTTGTTCAAAAAATGGTCATGAGTGAAACAGCATCAGCATCGTTAATTGCAACAGCTGTCGCAAAATTGACAACGAGCAGCGTCACAACAACGGCACCATCCGTCACCAATTCAGCATTAAATAAAAGTGAAAGTGACTCAATATCATCCAACCAAAAATCGGACAATGTTACTGGCACCACTGATACCGTAATTATTACGACGACGATGTCATCGACAACGAAAGCAGCCGCAGCAGCACCTCTCAACGAACCGATTCAACTCAATCCCTCGCAGGTAATATGCCAACGGGTCCTATCTCAACAATTCAAAATCAATTCATCATAAAAATGGTCGGCTTGACTTCCAATTAACAATATTCATAGTTTTTTTTTTCGTTCACATTTTCATTGCCTCCGACACACATGTACCATATCATTTCAAGTATGCACCACATATGTACATATTTCCAGACCATTTCTCGGTTTCGGTTTCGCTTTCGTTGCTATCGGCTCGCATATATATACATACCATGTGTGTGTGTGTTTTTGTTCTCTTTTGAATCGATCAAAATTGAGGCAAGCCAACAGCGTTCGACAGCATTTTAAATGTTTCTGCTTCTTGCATTTTTTTTTATTTCTTTGCTTCATCAATATTTCGTTCGTTTTGCGCATATTTTTTGATACTTTTCCATAATTTTTTTTTCCACTTATATTCATACCGTTTACATGCATATCGAATGAATGTGCCGATTGATTCAAGTTTTCGTACGCGCTCATAAAACGTGCGTATGAGATATTATTTATAAGCTGAAATGCTTAATTTTTTTTAGCTCGGTTGAATCTGGCCTTTCATTCGATCAATTTCAGTCGAACTATGAATCAGGCGTGCGCGAGCGCGCTCACTCACACAATGCACATTTTTCATACGCTTACAATTTTTCGTACAGAGGACAGATAGAGCTGATTTAAAAGGCGTGCGCGACTCTTTTTTTTATTCATTCATTCGCAGACACAGGGTTTTTCGTCGTTCGCAAGATAAATACATTTTAGATCTACTTAATGCCATTTATTATATTATGTCATTCTTTTCTAACACGCACGCACTCATTTAACTCCCCAAAGTTGCTATGAAATAAAAAGCTAGTGCTGTTGCAGCAGCAGCAACAACAACAATAACAAACAGATCTTATTTTAAATTGTGTTTAAAAAGAATACGGAGCGTTGCAGCACAAAATAAACCTAAATTAAATGTGCTTTATTTCGATCAGCGATCAAACACACACACACATATATTGCTCATTGTGAACTCTGACAAACCGATCTACTGAGATTCGGCACATACACACAATTAATAAATAAATTAATGTGTTCCCAAGGGGCATGACAGAATATTTACACATTTATTTTCTTTCTCTCGCTCCCTTGCTTTTGATCTATCACCCTTTTCCGTCTCTGCCTCTATTTCTAATTATAAAGCACCCCATTTCATGGATTTCCGCTCGACCTTGAGCACAAACATCAAAATTACAAGCAAGAAAAAGCGCAATTTTCTCTCGTTTTTCTTTTTGAAACGTTTGCTTCCTTGTTGTTAAAATGCAACATTTGTTTGCTTCAATCAGAAGTGGAAAAATTTGGAGTGTGCGTGGCAAAAAAAAAATATCGTCGTAAAACTTTCAGAAGGTCTCATGCGATATATATATGATATCATGCTCAATGCTTTTCTCGAGCTATTCAACATATATCTCGCTGAACGACGACAATAATTGCTGTTGCTGCTGTGGTACAGTTCCAAATCAAAAGCTGATCGAATGAATAAATTTTAAACCTTCAACAACAAATGTTCGCATAAATTTGCACTTTTTATTTACGCACCAAGTGTGGTTGAGCGTTGTACGCCAAACACGAAAAATTGTACGTAATAATGAAAACATATAGCGCATTCGACAAACCAAGTACATGTCAATGCAACGGCAATAGCAATAACAGCAGTATTTTGCGATACAAATCTTTGAACGAAAAAAAAATAATAATACTCAACTAACGCTGCAAATCACACAAAAATGAAACAAGTTGGCTTTACCCAGCAAAGAAAATGGAAAAAAAAACACAGATTGAATCCGGTTGACGGGTGCTGCGTTTTTGCTTCGAACACACATCGCACATTTTAACGTACGTACGTACGTAAGTGTGTGAACGAATTTAAAATCGATGAAAAAAATGGGACACATTTTTGATCTATTAGCCAAAGAGTAAATTGTAGTTGCAAAGAGCATTGCATGCAGAGGTGGTTTGCTAAATATTAATTTAAATATTTGCATTCAGTTCAAAGCATAGACAAAAAAAGCAAAAACATCGTGTGTGTGAGAGAGTGAGAGACTGAATTTGCCTCGATTCACGGATACGATATCATTCACCCTACACGCAACCATTATTTAACCATATTGACTTAGTAATCGTTTAATCGTTTTTCAGTTAGAATTAATTTTTCTTTTCGTCTGCCCTCTTTTTATCCCGTCTCGCATTTATAGGAGAGCTCAGATTCAGATGTGAAAGATGTGCAGTCAGAGGTATCGGATCTATCATCGATATCAGATAGTGACAGCAGCGATAAGACCAATGAATGTGAAAATTCGTTAATTTATATTCGTGATGTGTCAAAGGGATCCTATTTGGAGGAAATGCATGAGGTGCCATTATCAAATACGCCAATCGATCTTGAACAAGAGGAAGAAACTGAAGAGGTTGATCATTTATCACCATTGATTATGGACAATCATACGGTGTTGGAGCACCGTGAATTGTTCAAAGAAAGTTTGAACAATTTAAAAGAATTTCATCCGGGCGCTTCACACTATCGCACAACGTCATTAACCGATTCAACAAAGGATTCACCGGCAACATCAGACAGTGATAGTCGTATATTTTCATCGTTTGAACAGCGTCGTGATTCAAACGAATCGGCCCAACACGATTATAGTTCCGATGCTGTGTCGTCCGATGAAAATGCCAAAGATTCATGTGATGTACAGCAATCAATGGCAAAATTACATACCAACAAAGAGCATCATCAAGAAATTAAGAGCGATGACGAAGACGACGACGAACCCATTGAAATACCCACAGACGAAATGTCAGAGAAAATTGTTCAACAAGTTGAATTCTATTTTTCCAACGAGAACATTTTAAAAGATGCATTCTTATTGAAACACGTTCGCCGTAACAAAGAAGGTTTTGTTAGTTTGAAGTTGATATCGAGTTTCAAACGTGTGCGTCAATTGACCAAGGATTGGCGTGTCGTTGGCTATGCCATTAAATTGAAGAGCAAAATTATCGAAGTAAACGATTTGGGCACAAAAATTCGTCGCTTAGAAGCATTGCCGGTGTTCGATGAAACGATGCCATCACGTACGGTTGTTGCAACCGATTTACCAATCGATAAGGTAACCATTGAAAAAGTATCCGAAATTTTTTCGAAATTTGGTGAAATTGCATTGATACGAATTTTACATGCTGGCGGACAAATTCCGCCCGATGTTCGTCAATTTATGAATAAATATCCGGAATTGCATCAAAAGGAATGCGCTTTCGTTGAGTACACCGAATCGAAATCGGCACGCAATGCAATGGCAATGGAAACCGAAATGCATCTGTATGAAATGGTTGCACCAAAAAAGAAAACTGGTAAAAAGGCTAGTGTATCCAAATTAATTGAAAGCTACATTTATGCAAACACACCACATACAGAGAGCGAACGTAGTCGCCCACCATCATCGGCTGCAAATAATACCGATTTTAAATTACGACGAAATAGCTCAAATTTCTATGTGAAACCAGAACATTTGTGCAACAATTTACCATCATCGAATCCACAATCAGTGTCACCAACAATGCAAATGCATCAACATGTGCCGTCACTACAAAGTCCACGAAAATATTCGTTTAACAATGATAATTGTGAACATTTTGGACGTCGTGTAAGCAATACAATGATGGGCAACAATGATTTATCGCGTAAGTATTCAAGCTGTTCCGAAGGTTATTCCAGTTGCTCGGAAATGTCACGTCGAACATCAAACTGTTCGGATATGTCACGACGTACATCTAATTGTTCCGATGGGCCAATGTTTAATCGTCGCCTGTCCGGATGCTCTGATTTTTGTGCATGTTCACGTCGTTCGTCACAATGTTCGTCCGATCAATTTCGGCGCATTTCACAATGTTCCGATCACAATCGTCGTTTTTCAAATACTTCCATGAACTATGATCGACGTATGTCGAATGGTTCAGATGGTGGCCGTCGCATTTCATTTGATGGTGATTATGATCGAAAAATTTCTGTAGGCAGCAATGGTTGTGATCATTATCGAAAAATTTCCGGCACATATGATTCAATGCCACGCAAATATTCAAACGGTGATTTGCGAAAAGTGTCCGTCGATTCGGGATATGAGCGAAAATTCTCAAATTCTTCCATGAATGAATATGGCTCATCGCCACGATCACGTAGCAACAGTTTTTTAATGAATACAAATAAAAATAGCGAAAATCTTGTACGAACACCCATCGGACCGGACGGCAGCAAAGGTTTTTCAACGCGAGCCAGAAAAGTCGGACAAGTCGTCGTGCCGGTGTAGAATTATTTCGATCAAAGTTTATTTAAAATATGATGCGCATGAGTACGCTCCAACCTTCTCTTACGTGTAATTTTTGTCATTTCTTTTGCTTTATATTAATTTTATACTTGTAATTTAATCTAATTAGGAGAAAAAGTGTTTTTATTAAAGAGAAGAACGCAGTTGATTTTAGCAATGAATGAAATTTTATTGTTGGAGTTAGTCGATTATATACAGAATGATGTAATGATGTAGCAATTCAAAAAAAAAACTCACTGCAAGTGGTTCATATTTTTGTTTTGATTAAGACAAACAAAAAAATTGATAATTGATACTTACAAATTAGATCTATACATATTTCTCAGATTTTTTTAAATTCCGATACATTTTTAGTAAACTAGATTATTATTGTACATGTGACAATGATACGATATACGATGTGTATTCTCCTAAAAAGGAAAAAGAACTCAACTAAGAAAACATTGCCACCGATCGCAATAACAAAAAAACGATTTATGGCATTCTGTAAACGCAGGAAAACAATTTAGTTTTACTATTACTTATTAACAATTGTATACAGTTGAAATGATCACATAAATTTAAACGTAAGAAAGTAAAACAACAACAAAAAATGAATAGTGATCTATTTTGGCAAAAGCAACATTGAAAATTTTCGATTAATCGAAAGTAAAGGGACATCGCTGTGAATCTAAAACAAAATGATATGTGAACACTGTATTTAGAATAAAATTGAGAGAATTTGGCTGTCGAAGCCAATCTCAATGTGAATGTGTGTGCGCGTATGTATGTGACACAATAATGTACTGTAAATAAAATGTGTGGCCTTTTTTTCTCTTTCACTTTCGATATCGTGAATAATTCGAAATTTAAATTGTCGATGACAACCCGCGTCTTTCTTTATTTTTTTTTTTTTTTTTTTTTGGCGAACATTCAGAATCAAATTACCGAAATAAAACTTCTTTGCGACAGAATTACTTCTGAATGAAATAACAAAATCGAAAATGAAGAAGAGCATTTACAGTATTGCTCAATTGACATAAACATCATTGAGCCAATCATTTTACTAAAATTAAAACGAAACAAGAGCATGAAACTATTTATTTTGATTCGAAATATGGATATAAACAAAAAATCTATAAAAACTAATTATTTTCTCTCCTTCTCATTAAAAGCTAAGTTTTAAGTGAATGTTGAACCGAATGATAGTGTGAAAATGTGTTCGTTCAGAACTTATTAGAAGTAATAAGAAAATCAGATTTTACTTAGGTGAATTGTAAATATTTACAGTTAAACAAATAAAAAAAATATATAAAAAAAATCAAAAAAAAAAAAAACAAATAGATCGTTTACAAAATCATTGTTTTGCTTTTATTGAAACAGGTTATCAGTCTGAAATCGAAAATGCAATCTCTGTCAATCGCAATTCTATTTGCGGAAGTTCCATGAGGGATACACGCCGAGGTAATTATTAGTATGGCCATTTCCGGACTGGATCGTATTCAAATCTATCGTTGAAAATGCACACTTTCTCACAGCGAAAACAAATCATTTCTCATTATCTTATTCAGCAAATAATGACTGTGATTTCATTTAGTCGATGCGTTTCATCTTATGCACAATGTATACAGAGAGCTGAAGGTGATCAAAAACAAGTATAGTTTATAGATATTGTATGCGTCGATTAATTATTCTGCTGTTCATTGCATTCACCGTATTTATCATCTTGTTTTCAATGTCAAACAATAGAGAAAGAGAATTCCCCGAATTCACAAAACGCACATACAAACTAACTATTAATTGTATTGACCTATATATGTTTTGTTTTTCGCTCGTATCGTAAGTTACATTGTCGACTGCTTTTTTTCAAGTTGGCGCTATTTTCGTTGGATGCCGCTTTCGATATATATTTTTCTTCTTCTGCAAAGCTTTTAAAATTTTGCCAACTTCACGCATGTAAGAAACATATCAAAACATTGAATTTTTTTTAAAATTGTGCAAGAAGATGATGCGAGATTTAAAAAAATTATTATTATTGTGTCGATTTTTTTTCCTATCTTCTTTTGTCTAGCGCTTTGACCAGTCTATTGTGTTTCCGTTTCGCATTATTGTTTGCTTATAATTTTTTTGTGTATGTTTCTGTTAACTTTAACATACACACAAATAATCACATTGGTCATGGACGGATTTGGCGAAGATTTTGATCAGGCTGATGTTGATCCAGCTGCCGAACTTTTGTCACGTAGAAAAGATTAGATGGCTGGTTTGGGCACCGGCAAATTTAAGTCAAAGGACGTAAAATAGACCAGAAATTCAAGAAAGTATTGCAATTGGGTTTGGCACTTAGCCTGAATTCAAAAATAATAAGACAATCTCATGCCGTCATCGCGTAATGCGAATAGTCCTGAATTATTACTACTATATTTTATCGTCGATAGCACCATATTTGGAAGTTGATTCTAGTCCGATTTCGGTAAAAACATTCGACGATCGAACAACCGATCCAGAGCTGACTAAATACTTGAATCACAGTTACTTGGAATAGCGTGGAAGTGCAGCGATTATCAACAATTAAATTTTGTGAACTATTATGTTTCACTTATTTTACCGATTACAAAAGTGAGCATTTACCATTTAATGAGAAGAAAAAAGAAGCAAAATTAGCTGAAGCCAACAAAGTAATTGGAAATGTCAAACCAACAAAAGATCCGATCGAATTACCATCCGATTTTTCAATTTGGAGCAGACGGCCAGGAAAATAGTGGCCCCGTATTCCGATTCAGTTTAGCTGAACATTTGCAAAAAATACGAAATTGGTCCTGTTTGCGATGAAAAACTGAATCTCCACTACTTTCACTGTTCGAATCAATGAATACTATTTAATTTTTAATAATTTTGTCATTTTCGAGGAAAAAGTGAAAAAAATAATAAATACTTCCAATGTCGATGTTTTCCAATTTTATTCAATATCGATGTTTGATTTTCCGGGCAACTTCAACCTGAAAACGATTGTTTCAAAGATGCTATTGATTAAGCTTAGCATCTCGACTGTTAAATTGTGTATTTCAATGTTTTTTGTATGAAGTTGTCGAGATATTTCAAGAGGCAAATCATAAATAAAAACTTGATGCAACTGAATAGTTGAGATGCATTCTAAATTCTTTAAAACCAAATATTTCAGCCAAAATAATCAAAAGTCGACAAATGTTAATAAACACGACCTCACTTCAAACGATTTGTATTTTTTTTAAATCACAAGATGACAACATATTTTTTGACATTTGCGTTAATTGTCATGTTCAATGTTGCCAACTTCACGCCAGTTTTCCAGTGTATGTGAGCTTGAATAACAAAATTCTTTTGTCATAATATTCGATTAGTATGATAGAAAAAAGTCACTTTTTGAGTCATAGTCATTGAATTAAATTGAACGAAACTGCGATTTATCTTGTCAAATGCAAGAAAATCCAAATTGTTGTTGTGAACGGGCGTAAAACTGTCGACTTCAGGTGTTCAATTCAATTAATCTTTTTTTATCATCGAATACATCGAATCGAAGCAATCAACATGCAAGAAAATCATCCAGAATTGTATGAAGAGGTGAAATTGTATCGAAATGCTCGCGAACGTGAGAAGTACGATAATATGGCTGAACTGTATGCACTAATAAATACGTTACAAAATTTGGAAAAAGCATACATTTGGGATTGTATTACACCGCAAGAATACACAGCATCATGCTCAAAACTATTGGTGCAATATAAAGTGGCCTTTAAACAAGTTCAAAGCGATGAATTCCCAGTAAGTATTATTACGATTTAGACCTTTTTTTATTTTATTTTATTTTATTGTGAGCGATAAACAAATCATTCTAATAACAATGGTTTATGTTTTACATTTTCACTCAACAGACCGTGGATGCCTTCGTAAAGAAATTCCGGCTGGACTGTACAGCTGCACTGGAACGTATTAAAGAGGATCGCCCAATTACAATCAAAGATGACAAAGGGAACACAAGCAAATGTATCGCCGATATTGTCTCATTGTTTATTACATTGATGGATAAACTGCGTTTGGAAATCAAAGCAATGGACGAATTACATCCGGAATTACGTGATTTGGTTGACACAATGAATCGTTTGTCATTGATCCCATCGGGATTTGAGGGCAAAGAAAAGGTTACCAATTGGCTCAATACATTGAACGCGATGCAAGCATCTGATGAACTTAGCGAATCACAAGTGCGACAATTGCTATTCGATCTTGAGACCGCTTATGCGGCATTCAATAATTTACTGCACAGCACATAGAGATTATCATTATTAAAAAATGTTACTATTCTATTCATTCACGTTCACAAGTGAATCAAACTAACTCATTAAGCTTCTTTTCTTTTTCTTTCAATTTTCTTTTAAATTTCTTCGTTAAGATTTATAAGATATGTAATTCTTATACCAAATAAAAAAAAGCAACACACATTTCTTAACAACCAAAACACATCAGATTGTTCGTGTTTCTCTCATAAATATATCAAAGTGAGAGCAGATTTCATGCTTACCTTTATCTTTTGCTGTTGATTTTTGTTCACATGAAAAAAAACCACTGAAATAGAGGAGCATCGCAACATCATCTTAAAATGCAACTCCAGTTCATCGACACTCTTTCAACACGAAATATGGTCAAGTTAAATACGTTACCTTTACCAAGTGCCATTTTATCATCAAAAGAGTATGCATAGCATGTACCAAATGTCATTGGTTACTAGATTTGTATGAATTATAGAAATTCTGACGAAAGGATAAAAATAAAGTTGATCTATCATCGTGACCCCTTCAATCTTGTATTCTTTATCAAAATATGAAGGAAATGCTATAATCTTGATAACAAAAGAAATGTACGGCTCAATTTGTTTGTTTGTTTTTTTTTTTTCATTCATGGTCTAATAACTTTATATCCTACTCACACATCATTGTAGTCATGAAGTTTGAACAAATTGGATCTCATCACATGTACAAAAATCAAAAAGTTGACTTAAAATAATGATATTCCCTTTTTTTACTGTCATCATTTAATAAAATCGTTTTGTTATATTCATGATATTTTCACAAAATTGATACGTTAGCGTGCACAATGTCATGTTCTGTTTTTTACTTTAGCTTCGCCTATTGGAAGGAGACCCTTTACACATAATCTGTAATACAAACAAACAAACATACACACAATAATTAATTATACCATATCGATTAAAAGTGCAGATTTGGTGTTCCATTTCTTTTGCTCGTGCAAAATTGGATTTATACGATGAAAATCAATATGGAAATTTCTAAATTGATTGTATGTAATTTCAACAAAATTCAAGAACATGGACAACATTTTGGAGTCGTAAAAAAGTGTGTTCGCATTCTCAATTAATACAGAATACTGCTAGCTGTGTACAAAGGTAAAAAAGGTGCCAAATCGTAATTATAAAAACAACTCAGATTCATTCTAACATACATTTGTTTGTTTGGTTTTGTTTTTTTAAAAAGAAAGTTTTTATTTGTTATGCAAAAAATTTGATTTCTTTTTTTTCTTTCATTTATTAAATTTGTCTAGTTTCATTTTCCCATATTATCGCAATATATATATATTTATATATATAAAAAAACTGGATCCAAAAACATAATCGTACCGAAACGAAACCGAACACAAAATGAAAATAAACAGATCTCAAAATAAGTAATTGTTTGCCGATAAGTCAAATCAGCATATGCTTTGTCCCGTTCTCAGCAAAGTGCATGCATATGTGTATGTATGACAAGGTAAAATTGATCGATCATTTATCCGAGGTGGTGCGGTTTGATCGATTCGAATGTGGACAAAAAGGGAAACATCAAAGGCTTCATCGCACTTGCGTGTATGAATGTGTGTCTGTGTGGGTGGGTGTATGGTGATACCGAAAAATAAAATGTGCTTCCACAAAGTGTATGCTGCATCATTTATAAAACTGTCTGTTGTTGATTTGGTATGTCTCGTTTTTTTTTGTTATTGTTGTTGGGTGTCGTAAATTTCGATTTTCTGTTCAAATTTCTTTTTTATTTTGCATCATTTTTTGTTAATAAATTTTCATAATTCAATTTGTTTTTAATTATAATATAATTTTTGTTTCTTCTCCATCTTCATTTTCATCATATATGTACTTTCCACACTTAAACCTTATTTCAATTAATTGTTTATTATTATTTTTTAATTTTTTTTCTGTTGTTTTTACTATCATTTAGATTATCAATAGCATTTTTTTCTCATTTTTTTCGTGTACTTGTGGTTAAACTGTTATTTATAATTACTGTGAAAAAATCTCCAGCTCATCATTTTATCTCAATGAAAGTAATCTTGTTTTATTCGTTTTTTTTTTTTTAATTTCTCTGTATATTCTTCATCTGTTCTCTCTCATCTCTCACATTCATCATACTCAATGTAGATTTTTGTTTCTGCATGTTTCTCTTCAATTAAATTTATATAGCTTAATTTCGAAAAAAAAATCTATCAAGTAAATGTGTCTCCCATAATATTATCCTCGAGAGATTTCATTTTGTTTTTCTCATCTCACTGGATTCAGTTTTTGTGTATGTGTGTGTGTCTAGATTATTTTCTGTTTTGGGCTGTTGTTGATGTTATGTTTTTTTTTCTTCTCTTTTCTGATGATTTAGTTCTGTGCGGTCCAGTATGATGGTGAATAGCCTTGTTTAGTGCTGGATTTTCCCTGGCTACTGGTTTGTTGTCTTTGGCCGGCATTATTTGAGTCCTATTTTGAAACGAATGAGAAAAAGAATTAAACGATGCAATTAGTAAATTTCATAGTAAATGCCTGCGATTTGAATGATTTTTATTTGTATGGTTATAAATGTATACATGTGGATATATGTGACATATGAACTTGTTTTTAAATAAATGTTTTAGTCGTTGCTTCATTATTTGTTTGTGTCGGTCATGCTTTTCGGATCTTAGAAGAATGATAATGTGTTTGTGTTTACAATTATTATCAACAGTCTATAACAATCGGATTTTTGGTGATAGATCGATTGACACATTTGGAAATATACATATACAGAATCAACAAAAGATTAAACGTTGAGCGAGAGACATAGAAAAAGTGTGTATGTATGTTTGTGTGTGTATGAGAGAGACATGATATCTTTCTATTACATCATTTTCATAAGGAAAGTCATGAGAGAACTACATACAGCAAAATACAAATTAATGTTATTTTCAAACAAATCACTGTCTCTTTTATGTTCGAATGCAAACTTGGTTTAAAAATAATATTAACGAAATGATTAGCAACGATGCCATATTTCAAATGATTAATGTCATAACTAGTAAAACCAAACGGTTGTGTTCATTTCTACAGTTTAATTAGGATACACAAGGTGTGCGAGAGATACAGCAAAACGGAACTAGGGAGGATTAAAAAGCATTTTGAATATTAAAGCTTCAACAGATCTTAGCCTTCTAACAACAACATGCAGCAAAAAAAAAACAACTAATTATTACGAGGAAAAAAAAACGTTGTATTACGCAAGAGTTATGCAATGATAAATGATAAATTTAAAAATAAAAGTGTGAAAATGGAAATTGAAAATTAAAAATTGAAACAAAATAAAAACAAAAACAAAAAAGAAACTTACCCTTTTTGATGAGTTATAGACTCGGCCGTCCATCTAAGGATGAACAAAAAAATTGTAAACCAAAAACAATAAACATTTGCATGCAAAATAAAGTATTGTTTGTTTGTTTCTGTTTTGTTTTGATTGAGTTCAGTTTTTTCTCACATTTTTTTTGACAAAAAATTTCTTTCTTAAGCTTGACTGTTTTGATTTTTTTTTTTTCATCTTAATTTTTTTTGTTGTGAATTCTTTTGTTGTGAAATATTGTTTCTCGAAAATAGTCAGAGTTTTGTTTAAAACTAAAGATTACATTCAATATATTTTTGTTCTTATTTATCAATTGAATGGAAAAACAAATTTCAATTGATCAAAACCAAAAAAAAAACATTGGTCTGACTAAAAAGTAAGCAAGGAACATTTAGGTGCAAAATACGAACAAATAAGTGACAAAGAGAAAAAACTATGCAAAAAATGGACTTCAAAATATGTTTTTAAAGAAAAGGTGTTTAGAAACCAGTCGCAAGGAGAAAAAACTCTACTTCTAAAAAATACAACTAGCTAATTTGATGTACGTTTTGATTTTCATTGTTTGTTTTTTTAGCACACAATCTTAATTAAATTAATAGGAAAACAGTTCTATAATGTGATCAGACATAAATTAAAATTGCAAATTGAACAAAAATGATGTGTGTAAGAGTGAGAAAAGAGAACAACATCTCGACTACCATTCTCTGTGTTTGTGCCATGCATTTTTCATAGGAGAATAATAAAACTAATGAGCTAAGTTTTCGTTGCTAATATAATTCAATGTCCCCGCACGAACAACGAGAGAGTGAGAGTGTGTGTATGAGAAACAGAGATAGAGAGAGAGAGAGAGACGGAGTAAAAAAACAAAGTTCTTTTTAGATAAATAACATTACATTTGATTGGCTCTTATGTTTTTTTCTCAATTTTCGACTTCATTGTAAATCACTTTATTTTTCATTAAAAAATCTCAATATTTTGTCGCTCTTTCAATATATATGTATGTGTCTGTATCGGTGTGTGTATTGATTTTGGTTGGCTTGGAAAGTTGGGTGTAAATTCGGTCATACGTGTATCATCATCGTCATCTATAAGTATGTGTGTGTGTGTGTGTGTGTGTGTGTTTGGCTTGAATTTTGTATGTTCTTCGGCAATTACGGTGCAATAGTCATTTTGACTGTTTCATTTTTCATTAGCTTTATAAACATATAATTAATTTGCAGATTATATTTGTTATGTTTCTTAAATTACATATCCTACTAATTGAGCTGTATGATGTCTTGATATATTGTATGTTTATTGGTTTATTTAAATTTTTTGTTTCCAATTATTTTCATTTGTTTTACTTTTTGGTTCGATTCGTGTTCGTTTATCTTAATTTTTAGGCGAGATAACCTCCTTTATTACATATTTCTCATACTTTTCATATTCTGTTAAGCATTATTGCCTGTTCTTTGCATACTTTTAATACAATTTTTTTTCCTTCCATAAACAATATAACGTTTTTTTTTTGTTTCCTATGACGCCGTGAACATTTACATTCGCAACACGTTTTTTTCTTTTTCACATTTGCACAAAAAATATAACTCCATAATTCTTAATAATTCAGAGGCACTTCGGTTTGATTCTCTTTTTTCCTTCCATTCTGCAAAAATCGCCGAATTTTTGTTTCGTTTCATTATTTTTTGGTAGCATCGACACATTACTTTTATGTTCAATTAATTTCACAAAGCAGATTGTATTTATATTATATTGTTCATTTTCATAAATATTGATTCTTGGTTTTTAATTTAAAAAAAAAATAGAACTTCAAACAAAAGAGGTACGTAAAGTCGAAAAATTCGAGTAATTAAATCTATTGAATTAAATTTAAGTAAATAAATTTATCAGTTTTTTCGTCGTTTTTTTTAAAAGAAATAATCCTAAAAAAACAATAAAAAAAGAAAAAAATACGTTTTTATTACTTCATTTTATAAAATATATGATATATCAAATATCCGGGTGATTTGAATGAAATTAGCAACTTAAAAATTAGAACGAAAAAAAAATTGATTAGGCAAAAAAAACGGTGGTTGTGAGATGTGATCAAATCGAGAGAAGAAAAACAACGAAAAGTTCCGAAACGAACGATTCTATACGCATCGATTGCTTGAAGAAAGAAATGTTCATTCATTTTAAGAACAAAATATATTTATATATTGTTTCCTTGCTTAAGTGTGCACGCAAAATAAACACGAAAAACGAAACAAAAAAATCTAACATCACATTCGACTATAATAATAATAAAAAATTTGCTAAACACAAATTATAAGAACAAAAATAAAAAAAAACAATTGTTCGAATAAAAAAAAAATTATGAAAAAAACCTTCACCAATCAAACTAATCATTATGTACTTGGGCCAAATGCAATAATCGAATTTAGAGAAAGAAAAAATAAAAGAAAAATGGTTGAACAAGCAATTTATGACATGCAAATTCCATCGCGTGGAGTAAATGTAAAAAATCTAACTAATACGTTCAATAAAGTATATAAATATAGTATTCTAACAAAAAAAAAACTTCGTTCACTAGAAGTAGAAAATGAATAAGAGCTCCAATCGCAAAACAATACAATTTAATTATATTCCTCTCCATAACATAAGAACACACACTTCTTTTCATCATTCGTAAAATAAAAACGAAAAATTTGATTTATATAATGCTGTATGCGATTTCTCTTTGCGTGTGTATGTGTGTGTGTATTTTTTTATTCCAATAAATCTGATTTTTCCTTCATTCTTCAAAACATTATCATCATTTTAAGCAGCAAATTATGGACATTATTCATATGTTTTCAACTCGTCTCACAGAGAATTAATATAAATGAATTTATTAATAAAAATAAAAAGATTCTCTCCTTTGCTAGTTTTTTTTTTCATTTGGTTTCTATACAAGATTTCCAATTTCGTCGAATGATGATATATTATAGTTAAATCGATGTGTTAAATTACAAAAAAAAAATAGATAGAAAACATTCGATCGAAAATCAGAAAACAATGAGTTACACGAAAGAAAAAAAACAGTTAGAAACAAAAGGGAAAAAATAACCAGAGAGACTCTTATATGTTAACTGTGTGGTGAGTTATTTTGAACAATTCGATTTTAATTTCTTGTTTGATTCTGAGATATATATATATATTATAGAGTGTATGTGAAAGAGAAAGAGAGATATTAAATTTGGCGATGGCTCACCTGATGTATGTGTTGCGGTAAGTTCATGTTATGCAAAGCAGCTGGCATAGCTTGAATGTAAAGTTGTTGTGCACCGTATTGAGATGTGGCTCCGGCATTTTGTCCAAATGGCGGAGGTGTATTACTATGGAACGACCCTTTTTCATATGACTGCAAAAGGAGTAACACCATGATTATTTACAAAAATTGACTTCTTTAGATATTAAAAAAAAATCCGTTGAGAATAACGGCCAATAAAAAAACTGAATAAATCCATCGTCGTCGTAACCAATCAATAGTTAAGAAGTACTTACATTGACTTTGCTTAAAGCAGCATGGTTTTTATTACCATACATTGATGAGGAAATGTCCGAACCTGTACCACTTGGTGGTTGATTCGATACATTTTGTCCTTTCGATTGTTGTGTACCGCTACCCGGATAAGCAGTCTTTGTATACTCTTGTGTTGATTGACCAAGTGCATCATAACCAGATGAACCGTACGCACTGTTGTACGATGGTTTTGCGAATTGTGCATTTGACGATGCATTCGTAGCTAATTGTTGTGGATATAGGGCTGGAGTTCCAAATTGATAGCTTCCGGGCATCATGTTTGCACCATAGAAATATGCATACGGAAGATTCAACATTGGACCACCGGAACCAGTTTGCTGTGACATTGTACTAGGAACATTGCTGACTGGACTCGAATTATTATCGGTACGAGTGAAACGGCCATCAGACATTGTGGAATATGCAACTGAACCCAAATTACCATCACGCACGCCAGACGCACCAAGGCTGGTTGGTGTCTGATAATTTATGTCGTAATATCCGGCAGGCTATATTTTTGTTAAACGTCAACAAACATAAAAACAAAATAAATGGAGAAGAGAAGAGAAAAAAAAGAAGAAATATGCACATTAAACAACTATAACCTACTGAGTACGTAAGCGCACAGCCGTCAAATGCTCTCTGAACACAGATAATCTGCATTTGAGAGTGCGCTATACGTGTGGATTGTTTTTTATTTTTATTTTTTTATGTTTTAAATTTTGGTTTTTTTGTTGGTAAATGGTTCAAATGGTAAAAATGATTTTGATGAAGAAAGTAAAGAAGGAAGGACAGAGTGAGTATCAATTTTTTGTTGTTGTTATTATTGTTTTGAGTCAATTTTTTTAGAGCAAGTGGAAATGTGTAAGTGGTAAATAATATCCCAAAAAATAAGTTAAAGTGTATGCATTTTTTTATGTGTGAGTAAGTGCGTAAGATTATGATCAAGGATGCAATGGGTACTAAATTTTGAAGGCAAAAAGTAATAAAAACCTTAAAGAATTTGGGTTAAATCAAATGAAAAAAAGAATGAATCGAATTGATTGTTTGATGGTTATCGGGATTGATAGATTTTTAGTGTGTGTATGTGTGTGTGTGTGTGATTTCAGAATTTTTTTTTTTGGCGAATGGACTCACCACATGCGGCGGGATTCTTTGTTGCAACATCTGAATATCCTCATAGGAATAGACAGGCTGCTGATAGAATGGCATTCCAGTCGGTATATATTGACTAACCATTGGTATATTTGACACAACATTTCCACCTCCAGTACTTTTAGCTGTGGAATTAGTCACCTTTGTATTTGTCAATCCAATTGATGGTGAGCTCAAGCTGCTATTACTGTTACCGCTTGTATTACTGGCCGAATTGTTGGCTCCAACGCTTTGCGTGCTACTTGACAATGTGCTGTAGAACGATAAGTAAAAGAATAAAGAAAAAGAAACAAAAATAAAAATCGAAAAGAAACGAAATGCATTAATAAAATGTGGTGAGACAAACGATTTACGCCTTAATCTAGTTAAAATATTTTCTATTTGTTCATTTCATAAGGTACAACAAATAACAATGAAAAATCCAACCAACGTCATATCTTTTGTTTTCTTGAGTTGTTATTAGTAATACATAAATAGTATAAGTGAATAGGTGTGTGTATGTGTGATTTATGTACATTAAAAAGCTGTTACAATATAATACAAAATCATATATGATCTATATAAATAATTTAATTTGGGTTAATGAGCCAGATAAATAAAATCAGCGAGACATATCAAGTGGCAAACATTCCAGAATTATGGTGGGGTTAGAGGGGGTGATCAAAGCGGGTTAAAAGTCAAACGTACCTGTCATAGATGGTTGTTACTGGCGTTGAGTCTTTATTTATCTTTGAACCACTAAAGCTACTGTACTGCGATGTTGATGTATTAGTGTTTCCCGTGTACCTAAAGGTTACCATGATGCAATTTGAATGGGGGGTCATTTTTTTGTATTGTTTTTGTTTAGTTTTTCGGACAAATATGTGTGATACATGGACATAACAACAATTGAAACTTTAAATACCCGCATATTTACTGATTTACATTCAACTGTACAAACAAAGGTTCTTTTTTTCATCATTTCGATTTTAGTATCTGTATCGACAATTCGATAAATGTTTCCTTGGTGCAATATTGATGCCTTTGTAATTTGTCATTGAAAGTAAAGTGCAAACGAACGAACGATCGAACGTATGAAGATAAAATACATTTATCGAATTGTTTATACTTAAAAATTGAAGGTGCGCACATTACACACTCTGAGTTATTGTTACTTTCTGTTGTTTATTTGTTTGCGATTTTTTCAATAATTTGAAATGTGTTTGTGGTGATGGTGATTAATGAAATTCCATAAACGATCGAAAAAGTGTGAACGTGTGTCTGTGTGTGTGTGTGTTTTTGTGAGTGAAAAAGAGTTGTTTCCATTTACTTTGTAGAGAAAGAAATAAATAAATACAAACTCTCTAATAAAATTATAAAACACTTATGATTACGGAGTGGACGAAAGAGATGAATAAAAATGATGAGTAACGATAATGTACACACGCAAACGTGCGATTATTTACTTGCAGCTTGGTTTTGTGACTTTTTATTTTGTGGGCAGAATCGAAACTCCGCTGTCCACATATGAAAATGGATTTTCTTTTCATTTTAATTTTTTTGTGCAAAATTCTGAAACTTACCCTGAATTATTGTTGTTAAGACTACTGCTTCCGTACACACAGTTCGGGTTATTTTGATAAGCGCTCGCTTGCGTTGGATAAACAGATGACGTCTGGCTACTCGGATATTGATTCGACAAATATCCGGTATTCGCACTGGAACTGAACATACACGCGGTACGCAAATAACGAATTAGTCGAGATTAGCATTGATTAGTAGAAAAAAGACATGGAAAAATTGTAAGAAAAAAAAAACAATGTCAACTTTTAATAAAACAACAACAAAAAGAAAACATGTTATTTGGTTTAAATCAATTGAGAAAAGCGATTTGAGGTTGTGGTGCGAATTGAAAAAAAAAAACACCAAGCTTGTGAAATAAAATAAAAAATTTGCATTTTTGCATGTGTAATCAAAAATTGGTTTGGATTTTCACATTGATAATGATCGAGGGAGGCGACGATCAAAGAAATAAAAAATAATAATAAACAAATATAAAAATGATATGGACATTTACCTGGCATTATTCACTGAAGTGGTGTTGCCAACCGATGTTGAACCGCTATTCGATACATTCGTTACACTACTTGAATTATTAACACTATTAGTTAGATTGGATTGTTGCGTTTGGTACGAATTCACCGATCCTTGATTATAGGAATTATATGTATTTGTTGACGACGAATAATTGGAACTGTTTGAAGCGGTTTGTGTATTTGCATAATTTGAATTGTTGTACCCTTGTGGCGTAACATTCGATGGTTGATAAACGGTCGACGTTTTCGTGTATGTTTGATAGGTACCTGCTGTGCTTGCACCATTCCCAGATACAGATGTGGCATTTACATTTGATTGGTTTACATAATGATCAGACTTTGTTAATTGTTCGAGCGCTACAGAAGATTTGTGTTCAGGGAAGAAAAAAAAGAAGATAAACAGGGAATATTTTATTAATTTTTTTGATTTGATCTAAAAATGAAAACGAAGAGAAAAAAAAGAAAATATTTTAAACGAAACTTACCAGCGCTAGCATTGGCCAATGTGTTAGCTGATGCAGTTTGCGTTTGTACAACGGAACTATTTTGACGTTGGCTATAGCCGGACGATGACAAATTCTCGGATTGTCCGGCCAATGAGTCGGGATTTGATATCAATTGAGATTGGTTCAGACTGTTCGAACCTTGGGACTTCGATTGATAATCCGATGATACATCAGATGCTGTGACATTTTGTGAATTATCAACTATATTTGACGATTGGAATTTATCGGAAATCGAGTCGAACGTTTCTTCCGAGCCAAAGTCAAGCGCACCAAATTGTACATCCAAATATCCAATATTGCTGAGCGTATCGGGCATTTCCACAGCCGACGATGGAATTTTCGATGGTGGTGGTACTCGGGCACGTTTACTATTACGATTAGCAACGGGTTGGATTTGTGGTTGGCCGGCAACTACTTGATCAGCATCGTTGATGTTCGATTTATCTGCGAAATGATCATTCGAATTATAACGATTAGAGAAAACGGAGAAAATGAGTATTTTTTTTTTGTTTTCAAATTTAATCGTGGTTAAGTCATAACATTTTATCGCCAACTTATTTTAAACAAATAATAAAAGCAAAATCAAAAAAAATAGATAGGGAAAGAAATGATGAAATTCATGACTTACAGGCATATGGCGACGAATACTGCACAGCACTGACTGGTTGCGATGATAACGAATTGAAATACTGAGATTGTTCGGCAGACAATGAGGACGAGTTCAATGGTATATCGATAGCTGGTCGAAGATGCGATGCATTCGTGGACGATTGAACATGAAGATCCGAATATTGCACCTGATTGCTGTTATTATTGGTGGCAACACCACCAACACCGCTTCCACCACCAACCGATACAGCCGACGGTGTGCTTGAAACAGTGTTCGCACTGTACTGTTGAACCAAATCGTCATTTGTCAATTGTGACGGTGGACTGAGAATTTGCTGCTCTAAGCCCGGCGGTGCTGACAATTGTTCGGCATGTGATAATGTTTGATTTTGTACTGTACTCGGTGTAAAGACTTTGGTATCAGCCAAAGAACCTGTGTACTCCTCATTATCCCAATCACCCCATGTGTCATCCGATTTTGTTTGTTCAGCAGCACTCAATGCTATATTATTATCCCATGTATCGACGGCTGTCTCATTTTCATCTTGAGATCTAAAGTAATTGCCACGATTTTGATCTCGTGAACTTCTCGGCCCTAAGCGACTGCACAGTCACAATCGAACATATGAAAATGAAATGGAAGATAGACGAGAAAAAGGGCAAAACGAAATGAAAAAAAATAGAAACATAAATTAAATGACTCATAGAAAACTTGCAAACGATTGCGAAGTACATAATAACTACAAAGTCACAAAACAATCTATAAACAACATTTGAGCACAAAACAAAAGTTGACTCATTTTGAATTTGGCGAAAAATTCTTGGAAAATGTTCCGACATTCAATGAAATGTTGCTTATAATGGTTCATGAGCGATGGAAAGACAGAGAAAAAAGGTGAAAAATTGGCTTACCCTCCAGAACGACCACCTCTGCCGGCACCGAATCCACCGTTTCGGAAACTGTTTGGTGGTCCTCTCCGTGGTCCGCTATTCTGGTTTGATTTGTTATCACCAGAACCACCGGCATTACGTTCATTTTCCCGGGATTCTCTGCCACGCCATCCACGACTGTCTGAATTACCACGTCCAACACGAACATTACCACCGCGATTACGATTTTTCTCTACAAATTTGAATAAAACGTTACTTGACATTGGTGTACTACGATCTCCAATCTCGATTCGATGCCAATCTTTCGATTGCTACGATGTGAACTGATCAAGAAAGTGACACAGGAATGAAAATTAAAATGGTACTTACGGTAATCAGCGTTGTTGTTAGAATTGTTGTTTGTGCCACTGTTGCCGGCATTATTGTTCTCGTTCCACTCGCCATCAGTGGCAGCAGCATCACCCGTACCGGCCAAACGATTCTTTTTCTTTTTCGATGATGTTTCGAACGCACCCTAATTTCAATCACGAAAATACATTGTTAAAATGATTTACAAACGAGCGCAGTTGGTGCGGCGCAAAAAAAAGAATGAAATCAGAAATCACTTACAACTGGAAGTTGTTCGAGCAGAAAAATGACGGCTCGATCGAGATCGTTGTCACATTCGTATAATGCACAACAGACCTCTTCTTCAGTGCGCTGAGTGGTTTCCATTAAATTGGCCACTTTTTCGCGCATTTTTGGATCATCTGAACCGGTGCTAATCTCTGTGATTTGAGCAATTCGAATCTGTTCAGCGGTTGGCTGTTTCACATGGCTGCAAAGTTAACAATAACAATGTATCACATTATTTTTTTGTTTGTTTGTTTTTTTTTTTATCAACTTTCTCAAGAAATAAGTATGTACGTACGTTGACGACGTTTTAATGTGAGTTTTGTTGAAACACACGAAATGGAATATCAACAACAACAACAAAAAAAAGTAACAAACGACTAAATGCAAAAATACTCACAGCTGTGGTTTCTCTTTGTCTGTTTTGGCATGATCTGATTTCTTCTGGAAATTGGTCTCATTACCACCGCCACCACCACCTGTGGTTGATGTGTTTTTCTTATTAGTTTGATTGCGACCTCCGCCGCTCGATCTGGTTTGTGTGCTCATCGCTATGTACACTGTATTTACAAGTAGCTGTGAAATTGAAACGGCACACACCGAAAAATAAATAAATAAAAAACCAACAACAACAACAACTTAAATGAAAACGTAAGTGAACTTAAAAAAAAGTGTGATCTCGATTAAATTCTGTGAATTTTGCACTGTTTTAAAAATGGTTCCTAATTAATGGGTAAAAGCCGAACGTCGTTGCATGCTTTCAATTGCACCATCCGCAATTTTCGTTTTTTTTTCTCTTTCTCTATTGTATATATATTTTTTTTGTATGGTGAAATGACATGCGAAATTGCATGATGTGATTGAATTGGTTGCATACCAAAAAAATTTTTATGACTTGATATTTTGTAGCAAATTGCGATTGATTTGTAATGTTTGTCTCACTGAAACGAAATTTTCTGTGTTTTTCCCGACGACGAAATCAAATCAAAATTTAATAAAAATAATACGCAGGAATTTTTCAACTTCGGTCGAACTGGCAAACACATGCACATAATAAATGTACTAAATGTCGAACGAATGAAGAAAAAAAAAAGCGATGAACAGAAAAAACTCTCTCGTAAACGCGAGATTATGAACTCGTTGTGGTCGTCGTCGTACCACCACGTTTTAATGGTGTGTGCGATTTAGGTTTTGTATGCGTGATTGTGTGAGTGCGATGAACACAGTCTATGTGTCGTCGTCGTCGTCGTCGTCGTCGTCGCTGTTCTCGTCTCTTTTAAAGTTTTTCGGCGTTTTACAGTATGAAGTTGCAACGACAGGTTGGTACAACTGTGTCGCGGTATTAACAAAGAGGCCGACGTTAAAAGAAAAGTAATGGCAATAGCAACAACAACAACACCAGCAAATGTAATCGAAGTGAAAAAAATAAAATAATAATACCATCTCTCACACTTCGAAAACTCTCTTTTTCATTTCGCCGTCGGTATTTTCAATTGTTTCCATCCATTTCTTTTCATAATTTATACAATTTTTTTATGATTTCGCATATTCTTTCGTTATTTTGTTTTTTTCTCTCGTTGATTACTGTGTATTTTATATTGTTTCTTTTATTTTCAATCGTCGTTGTTGTTGCTCTCCTCACCTCGCTTTCTTAATAAACGCACTCGATAGTGCACACACACGCACACATATATGCATAAATACAGACACAGACACACAGACACACATACCAAATCGTGCTCTCTCACCACACTCAACCAATTATTCACACACCGTTATGCATGTTGTAACCAAAATTATGTGTGTATCAAATTGTATGTAATTTTAAATGGAAAAGAAAAAATTTCTTTCCCTTTAAAGCAAACGGAGAGAACGAGATACAATTCAATTGAAGAGAATTGTGAAAACACTTTCACGATCTATTTTTATTTCGATTATGAATTTGTCGGCAATAGCGAGAAATATCTATATAAATATACAATTTGCATTTGGCCGACAATCAATCACAAATCCATTTTGCTAATTTGTATCGCGCACTCATAATATAAATATCGGCAAAATTGAAATTTCGAGAGTCCGAAAAAACGCAAAAAATCAACATTTGTTCGGCATACACATGGCTCACTGACCGAAAGACAGCGAGACGGAAAAAAAATCATTTTCAGAAAATTGACGAGAAAAAAATTATTCTTCAGTCAAACATTGAATGTAGTGTGTAGACGCCATTCTGTCGCAGTCAAAATCCTTTTCGACAGACAACCAAATCATTTACGAGTGTACAATTGTGACCGTATCCGCGACCAACCAAAAAAAAACTACGAATCGCATTTTTTTCTCAATTTAACCATCACACATCAGCAACACATTCGGCTATTTACACATTAATTCACTTCTTTTTTGAAAACTATTTGATGATAATTTTTTATTACTGGATTTCCGTTGGTTTGCGATTTAGATTTATTTTGAAAAATAATAAAAACTAGATAAAGTTGATGCCGTCCGTACCTGCATGCGCTAGAACTTTGTAATGAATAAAAATTGTGTGTATGTCGTACATTCAATGAACAGCGTTTTGTGAGCGACATTAAACGCACGCTTTATTTGGGTTTTTTTTCAAGCGAAGCGCCCTTTTCAAAATACATTTATGCAATGCATTTTAAATCGATGGCATTCAATATAAATTCCATCTTTTGCGGTTAAATTGAATATTTTCAATACGATTTGTTTTTTATTTCGATTGATCGTTAAAAAAATCTCAAAAATATCAATGAATTTTAATGTGAAAAATATTTCAATGTCTCTTCTTATACAACAGGGTATTTAAAAAAAACATTACCATTTCGTGAATATATAGGAAAAATAGGAAAAAATATAATAACAAAAATCAATTCGTAATCTCGAAAAGAAATCAAATGCAATAAAAATTCGTCTTATGACTCATATATGTTCAATGGTATTGAGGTGTATTTGCGTTAATTATTTTTCACCGTCGCAAAGTTGTCAGTTTGTCTAGGGCTTTTTATCATATATACATGTGTATCTAGATAGGCGTATATACGGTGTATAGACGTACAGTGAACGGTATGGTATCCGGCATGTGTGCGTGCACATTACTCATGCAATGCAAACGAGAATCATCATCACGATTTACACCGAACAAAGACATAAAATGGCGTCGGTTTATTTCCATCGGTCAAAAGCGACATTGAATGCATACACTTTAGATTTTGACAATTCGGTCTTTATCTCACCCAACATCGTGAAACTAACCTCAAAGCGTGTGTTTTTTGGGAAACGGGACAAAAATTGGCAATATAATCAATTGAATTACCTGAAGCAATTGGGATTTAGTTTTAATTATTGTTGATACCGATTGACGGAAAATTTGTGGAATTTCGAAGGTACTTCTTTCACCATAACAGTCACTTCTTTTTTGAAATAATAGTTTTTTTTCTCGAACATATCAATTAATATACAATTGGTATCAACAATCCGAATCGTTTTTCTTCCAGTTTGTCGAGACTAAATTCATCCAAAATGTGTCGAAGACTCGTAAAAATGTTGCACAAGGGTGCTGGTTGTGGCACTTTTTTCAAAAATTCCGCCAAATCAATTCGTTTGGTGAACAGAGGATGCACAAATCGACCATTTTACCATATTGTCGTCGCTGAGGTACAAATTTTAAGACACACTCTCTTCCATACATATTGTGATAACGACAGCGCTCAAAAGTAGAACACACAGATTGATTAACGACTATGATATTTTAATCAATTTTTTATGACGAAAAAGTGAGAACTTTCTAATTTTTGCCATTTTTTTATTGCTATTTAGAAATTCCGTGAAGTGAAAGACCAGGCGATAGAACAAGTCGGTTCGTATGACCCAATACCAAATGAACACAATGAAAAACTTGTGGCATTGAATATGGAACGCATTCGATATTGGCTGGCTGAAAATAAAGTAAGAGTTTCACCACCGGCAGCAGAAATTTTCGGTGAGTATAATTGTTTTTTTCGAAAATTCGATGGACCTATTCATGTTTAAAACGAATTCATCAGAAAATTATCAGGGCGATATTCTTTTGAACATTTTTGCATCATTGAAGGATTTTTGCTAAACGGAAGTTTAATTTTTCTCAATTTTCGTGCTCAAAAATCGTTTTTGATTTACTGAACTTCTCTGAACATTTCTCGTAACTCTTTTGAAAATGCCATTTTTTTGAAACGATAAAAAACACCACATTTTCCGAAATGATGAGCTAATTGGTTTTTTTTTCTTACCTCTTCGCAAAGGTTTGGCCGGTTTGTTCCCAGTTGCACCATCAACATGCATGAAGGCATGGAGGAATCGTAAACGTGATGCAGAGCTAGAAGCAAATAATAAAGCCGAAGCCCAAGAGACATCATAATAAATAATAGCATTACCGTCATATTTTTTTAAAAATCTTTATCATTTGTATAAAACTTTTAGTATTCTAATAAAATTGAATTAGCTGTGTTTACAAAATGAAACACTTTTATTGCCGTTAATTTTTAAGATTTAGCAGTTATCATCCGCCAAAAATCTATAGGAAAATCGCTAAATTTCAAAATGATAAATAAAAGACAGTTTAAATTGTTGTTTAGTTATTTGAATATGCGTCAAGAAAAAAATAATCGTGCGCGCAAATCGTTGCAAATTTATTATTGTATTGTGTTTTGAGATAAAAGTTGCATCTATTAAATTACAATTGCTTTAAATAAGAGACAACAATCTATATGATGAAAAAGGCGAAAAGTACGGTTTATTTTGACTTCTTGAGTACATCGCCGACCAATTCCTTCGCTTTATCGGCAAATTTGTCAATTGCTTCGTCGGCAGTGTTTTGGTGTTTCAAAAAGTATGGTCGAACTACTCGTTGATAAAGAACTTGGGAACCGTTGTTGGCAGTCGGATATTGGCACCACACGAACAAGATGCACTGTAAATAGACAAGTGTTTTTTTTTTTCATTGGAATTAATAATGTATGCGTGCAGGTGATAGTTTGACCCAATTTTTTTTCGACATTTGATTAATGAAAACAAAAAAGAAAACGTTTCAATTAAAAGGGAAAAAACCAACCGAACTGAGTCAAAGGCATGTGTATGTGTTTGTGTGCTCAGTTTGATCGCGTTTTGTCTATGCGGATATAATCGTATTAAAGTTGTATAAAACAATCGATGAACCTACCTTCCACAAGTAGTAGAATGGGATAATAACTGGCAAGTAGCCGGTGAAAAATTCAAAAACGGAGAAGATAGCATACAATGTCCAGTATACCAATTGTTTGGTGTCATCTTCTTTGGTGCTGGTTTCTAAGGCCTTCAACGAAACGTAAGCTGGATAAGCGACAGCAATAATATTACATAAGAGTTGAGCAGCGGCTCCAAACATAAGATATAACGTCAAGAATCCAGCGACTCCTGTTAATTGAATAAATGAAGAAATGAGAAGAAAAAAGAAACAACAATTACATCATTGCTAATGTCATTTATAAAAATAAAGAACCAAAACATACACCGTTTTTAATGTGAGATGGAAAGGGATCGGGTGTGAATAAAAAAGAGTTCGGTGTATGCAAACGAAAAAGAGAAAGAGAGAGAGAGAGCTAGCGATCGCTAACCACACAATATGACTCAAAATATTACTCGCATTTGTGGCGTTTAATTAGCGGACTGCGTGTAAAAGTATCGTATCAGTCAGTCGTTTCGTGTTTATTAATGTCTTTTCCTACCCGCAACTATACTAAATATATCTGAGTTTACAGTCTCGGCACATTTATTTCAGCTGCCGTGCGTTCTCAACGTGCGACAGAGATAGAAAGTGCGCGCGCTAGAAGAACGAATGAGCCTTTTTCATCGGCGCCCATTCTATGTGCAATTCTTTGCAAGTGTATAAATAAATGACGAAATAAAAAAAACTCTATTTTTTTCAACTTTTTCTTTTTCTAGCCTTTTTCTTTCATTTTAATTTTTCGGCTGTGCTTTTCAAAATGCACGCAACACTTGTGTCACCACACATACGACTTTGAAAACTCTTTATCCATTGTAAATGCCATTCTGTCATACTCTTTGTTTTCTCTTCATTTTCTTTCGTTGTGATTCGGTCATTTTCTTTACTTGTGTGTTTTTTTTTATTTTATTTTGTAAATTTCCCTTTTACTTTATAAGACGTAGTTGAACAGAGGTTTTTCATTTCATAGTGGCAACAGCAAATGCGGTGTCTGCTTTTATAACCTTGCATTCCTTAGCCGACTAATTCTGAACAGTTAAACGGTTTCCCTATTATACTAATGTAATTTTAATAAAATCAAATCTATTCTTTTCTTTGGCTCTTTAATTGCAATTTGGACGAAGAAAATTTTTTTCTATTTAAATCAGATGTCTTTTTTTTGCATCACATGTGGATAATAATATGATAAAAGCGCATTGCCCACCTCATCAACCAATGGCCCGGCAAATGAGTTCACAGATTGTCGGTTAGGTGTGTATGTGATACGTGACAATTTTTTTTCACTCGTCATCGATCGTCATCTTCTAATTCACTCTCTTTACCAAAAATAAAAATTTAACGCACATATACACATACTGCTTTTATGGGTGAAAATTATCATCGATTTTTTTTTCGTTCATTTTTTTATCGCAATAAATATTAAATTAACACACTTACCTCCGAATAAATAAAGCCGTGGAACGCCAGACTTTTCTTCAGCCAAATCTAAGACTTTTTTCCATGGTTTTTCCTTATCGTTAAGGGTTTGATTCAACGATACTTTAATTGCTTCAATTCGTTCTGCCATGTTGCTGACTGTATGCGTCTCTTGTCTATTGTGATGTGACGAATTCAACCGAAATATATGTAATAACACGACCGAAAAGAAAACAGAACAGAAATATGTTGAGAGAGATATTTTTTTATGCGTATCCAAAGAGTCACACAGTGTTTTAATCACACACGAGATTTATAGCCGACACAGAGAGAAAGAGAGTATATGAGATTCATACAACTGTAAAGAGAACTCGTTTCGTGCCAAATGGACGTTCGAATTGATTAGTCGGTTTACTAGATGTATATATTTTTTGTCCGTTTATTAAAGCAAACCGAACTTATGTGAAAGAGAGAAAAAGAAAAACGTGTGCACTTTTATACAACTAATGTGTAGATGTGTCGTTTGTGTCGTTATGCGTGTAACGTCAAACTGTTCTGAAGTTTGCTCTAAGTCTACTATAATATTTCTCGCTCGCTCTGTGTGTAGTCCATTAGTTTTTTCGTCTGTCATTGACATTGCAAAACTGCTTCGTTCGTTCGTTTCGTTCGTTCTTCTTTTTATTTTATTTTTTCCCTTTTCGTGTCTTTCTCTCCTTCTCTTTCACCTTCTTTCGTTCGTTTATTGGGTTCGATTTGAAAGGAGAAGAAAAAAAAATATCTCGGTCTTCTTTTCTCTCTACCTAAATTAACACTCGAACGGTCTTCAGTTTTTCGAATGGACGAAAAAAAAAAATGCAATTATTATTTTCTGATGCCAGTTTTAAATGATAAATATTGGTGAATATCGAACCGACGTCGAAATACCTATATTAATAATAATGGAATAATTTGGCACACATAAAATTTACAAGCACACATTCAATGTTTACTGAATTTTGAATATTTGTTTTTAAAAAAAAAACAGAGATTTAACAAAAAAAAATCGCTAAAATAACAACACTGTGCCTTTTTTGAAGGCAAAAATACAAACTATGCATCAAATACAATCGGTCTTCTCAGTAGAATCCAGGCACAAAGGTCGTTCGAGTGTTAATTCGTCTTTTTTCTCTTTTCTCCTGTCTTTCTAATTCTGCTTTTTGCTCGTGTTTCTTTTCATTCTCGTTCCGGAAAACGAACAAACTTGCAACTTTTAAAAAATGATAAATAAATTTATGCAAAAATGTTTAGAGAAACCAAAATTCCTGACCAATATCTACCGTTTGAATTTCGCAAGAATTAAAAGAAAAAATGCGAAGTGATCGCACACACGTCAACTGATGAATTTTAATTGGTTGATTAATGAAATTGGAAACAATAATAATCTTGCTCGTACACCGAACAATTTACTGTATTGTTTCTTTCGGATATATGTTTGACGCTATTTTTAGCGGTGCAGGGTTTAAAGCATATATATATATGAATTTGAAATTATTGTATTTTTTTCAACTAATTTTTTTTTTTTCGTTCGTCTTATTCAGTTTTCGATCAGACGATCTTAATGCCATCTCACGGTCAATGTCGAACTCAATCTTCTTCATTTCGTTTGCAAAACTTTTAAAATGCGATCGTATGTGTCGCACCAAGTCTCGGTGTGCATTTTGCATGTAAAACATAAAAATAATAATAATACGAAAGAACACAGGTATATTTGATGTTAAATGATACTTTGGATTTATATTGACGAACAAAAAAAGCAATTCGTTTATTTTTCGCATTTCGAGATATCTTGTTGGCATGTAAAAGAGTAATTAGAAACTGTATGCGTTAAAGCAAGAGGCGCCGATAAATTTGTTTTTTTTTTTTATGGAGAACATTTTTGATAAACGAAATAAATCTCGATATAATCCACGGGATCTTGCTAGCGATCGTTATGTACAGTGTACACAATTGGCTCGAATGAATTGAAAATGTCTAATCTCTTACAAAATGAATCGGATTTTTTTTTAGAAAATGATCATTTTCAGCAATAGACTATAAATAGAAAAAAAAAAACACTACATGACGCTGGGTAAATCTTTACAAATTCACGATCACCCGTCGATCATAATAAACAATTTTCAATTTGCAAATCAAATGATATTTATCAATATAAAGGTCTTACATTTAAATTTCGTTTGTAATTTTCGAATATTCACAAAATGGGGAAAAGAGATTCACAATCCAACTCAACAAAATGTTTAAATAGTACTGCAGCCAAACGCAAGTACAAAGTACAGGCAGGCAGGCAAACAGACAAGTTAATAACTGAGTCAATTGTAGATAATGATATTTTGAAAACAAAACTGTTTAAATTCCAATTTATTGCATGACGATTATAATAGAGACTCACATGAATCATCTCATATTGTTGTATTTTTTCTTATATATTTTTTTTTATTTCTCTTCGAGTGATGAGATTGCATTTGGCACCAAAATGAATGACACCGAAATTATTGTAAGTGCATTTCGGCGGTAATTTAAAAAAAAATTAAATTATGTTGCTGAGATTTTGCATTTTTTGGCAATGAAAGTGTACTGTTTGGCTGATAAGAGTGATTCTATTTTCGTACATTTTTACGAGAGAATTCATTCTTATCAACTTTATGGCATTTATCTTCCAATATTTTTTTTCCGCATCAAATAAATACGAGTATGATATATTTTTATTATTTTTTTGTTGCATTCGAAATAGTCCTGAAGTTGTTTCACATTCCAAATGACTTTGGATTGGATTGTGTGCAACCCAACCGGCTAAGCCTATGAAGAGACAAAATGCGAATTCCCCTCATCTGTGCCATCTTGTATTCCATAGTTGAACTCAATTTAGTTACAATGAATTGAATCGAAAAAGAGAAAAAAAACAACAACAGTAACATGGCTACATAGATCTGTTGACCAGTGAGATACGTATAGCAATGGAATGAAAGAATGAAGAAAGCGTATATGTGTATGTATGCATCAGCACGCATAGATGTACAGCTCTGTGTGGCCGTGCTATTGTTGTTGTTTTTTCACTTTTTCATTTCAATGCTACAGAATTAAATTCAGTTTTTGCATCTAATTCACACTAAAATCAGATGGCGCTCATTAGCGAGATTCGCAAAAAAAAGTCACCAATCTCATACAAATATACACCGGCTGGTGCAACCAATATTCATGCTGGTTGCACAGCCCAATGCATTTTTGACTGCATTACTTTCAATCCTTTTCTCTTTTTTTGACATTTATGCATTTCACTACGGCCAACACAATCGGGAAAAATCAATTTTACTTGTTTTCATCGAAAGTATGTATTCTGCATCATTATTAACAGAATGATCTGATATTAATGCATATCGATATGATTATTGTGAAATGCATCGTGTGTGAATTACTATAATTATGTAAAAGAATGATATGGTATAAATGCATTTGAAACTTGTACATTTGAATCAAATATTTTTCTTTTCAATTCGAAAATGATCACATCTCATTCTCTTTTAATTATAATTGCATTTCTTTTTCATTTTTGTATATTTTGTTCTTTTTTCTACAGTAGTATCTTGATTTGTAATAAAATTAACGATCTGGTCACTCGAGCAGTGTCACTTTCTCACATTTTTCAATAATATTTACACTGGCTACAGAAACTTTTCATTTAATTATCATTTTGCTGCTGTTATTATCATGCATTTCAATGAATTTCAATGGAATTTACGGCTAAGGCATTAAACCACCTTTATCATCATTTAAAAATTAAAAACAGATAAACATCTAAAAGAAAACTATAAAATAATTATATGATTATATGACAGAACGTTTGCGTTGTATTCAACGCAATAAAATATTCTTGTACAATGTTCAAATACAATGATGGTAATTTTGTTTTTTTTTTGCTTTATCGCTGTTTTCATAGGCCGTTGTTTCAGTTTCTGATCTTCCTTGACTCATGAAATTATTTGGCCAAATGGACAAAAAAAAACATTTCGCGCAATTAAAATGCGTTTGAAACGAATAAATGTACAATGCCATTCTGTTCGTTTGATGCGGCGTGTTGAAATGTGAATTGGCTTGAATGTGTCACCGTTGGGGATAGTGGGTCATGACGCGATTACGCAGAGTGTGTTGTTTGATTTTCTCAATGGCAAATGGTGATGAAAAAGAAGAAGATCAAAGAGTGGCAATTTGGTGTTGGCCTGGGTGCGAAGGCTGCTTAAGCGATTGACCGATTTTATTAATTTTTTGTTTCTCTTAGTTTCAATTTTTCGAAATAGAAACATACACAGAGAGAAAGAGAGATAGACAGCATGTATTTTCATGTGGTTTATTATTGGGCATTGTGGAATGTCTCCTACTGCATATGGCATTAATGTGTCCACTTTTCTTCGTCTCATTTAATTTTGTTAAACAAAAAGACACTTCATCTCATGGTGCATAACAGGAAGACACATTTTCTCTTTTTATCATATTGACGATGCAATTACTTGGTTTTGGCTCATCAGTCCGATATCATTGAGAGATTTGCATGCATCGATGTCCACATCCAGAGACCAACACACAGCACGCGAAAAAAAGAAAGAATTTCAAATGTGCTCTTTTAACGGAAAATAGAAATACTGATGGCGAGAAAAAGACAACATTCGCAACAGCACAGCTTTCATCCGGCCAATGTGAAAATCCACCAAACTAAACAAACAAGCCATTTTTATCATCAAAAGGTACGTTGATTTGTGCGAAACGGTTTTTTTTTGTTGTTGTTCTCTTCATTTCTCCCAATCGAATGGCATCAAGAGTAAACGAAGCTATTACCTAGATTGGACACACGATTTAAACGAAAATTTATGCAGGCAACAATTGCAATTCGTGTGTGAGTTTTTCGCCAAATGTATGTAATGTTCACATTCGTTCAAATGACACAAAATATGCCAGATATTGCGCACACCGCTCACAAGCATTTAAATGAGAATAACTTTTTCCGATCAACCTGCTGAACAAATGCGATGTGCACAAACCAATGGGCCCGGATCACACTAATGCACCTGAAAGTGGATTCCGATCGAAGAAGAACAACATTTCACAATGATGCACTCACTTATTGCCATTTTATGGGAATAGATGGATATATAAATAATGTTATCATTCAGACCAATAAACAAAATACTAAAATGTATGATGCACGTGTGCATGTCGTCGTCGTCGTCACCGCCGCCGTAGTCATCATCATTATTATCGTCGTCGTCGAATGATTTGGATGATAATGGGTCGTTGCATATTCATGCAACACAGGTCATGGCTCATGATTGAGCACCGTCGCCGACATGATCATTTCTGATCAATTCAATCGATTCCTTTCAATTTTGTTCATTTTCTTCGACAATAAACACGGAACACTGTAAGGCGAATGCCTAAAAGGTAATCGTCATTTCAAATGCCATTTTCCGAATGATTACTTCGGCATGGAATGAGAGAAAAGAGAATAACATGAAGAAACATGCAAGGTATCAGTTTTCTATCCATTGAATTATGATTATCTATTTATATCGAAAATTTATGGTGCTCGCATAAACTAAAATCGAAATCGAGAACATGAATGCAGTAAAAGTGGAATTTGCTATGCATTCTGGGATTGAGTCAAAAAAAAACGTGTTCGATTTATATGTCATTCGAAGAATTAAATCATGTGAAAGAGCTTTTTGGCATTTTTTTTTTGCTTAGATAGAAAATATGTTGTTCGGCATTGAAAATCGCCTTAATGTATCAAAATCGCGGAAAATGTGCTTTCCTTGACATTTTCTTCGAAAAGAAATCAACATATATTATTGAAAGAATACGTTTCATCTTCATTTAAAATGGATCAATCGATTACCAATCATAATAGAAATCACATCCATTTCTCGATCAGAATTTGTGTTTAATTGAATTTAATTGATTAAATTTACCCTAAACGGATCTTGTTTGTTTGATGAATCGTCGCTTTCAACATCGACACCGTCCATCTTTCGCGCACATCAACAACCAAATAAATAAACAATCGGCTTCAACAAGAGTTGCACATGATATTGCAATAATGAATGAAATGGTATCGCGTGAATGGTGTGACTATCACCGGAATTCAAAGAAGATGAAAAAAAAAGAAGCAAATGAACGAAAATACGGCGAACGCGAGCTGCTGAAGTTGGCATGGAATGATGATGGAGAAGAAGAAGAAGATCAAAGAGTGGTACGTCTGCACTTCCATTCGATGTGCGATAAGAATGAATTTTTGTTGTTGCTGTTATTGTTCATGTTTCATCGTACTCGTACTTGTACAATTTGTCGAGGTATTGGGTCAGGCACGGTTTGCGTTTTCCATATAAAATGTTCGGTGTTGAGTAAATTTGCGTCATTCATGTGTTGGGCTTGCTAGCGAGATGGTAACGTTATTATAACATACGCAGAATAAGAGGTACAAACAATTCCATCCACATACGTGAATACGCAAACACAGTACTCACTTAAAGAAAGCACTTCTTTTTCATTTTGGTTTTGTTTCGGTTTACACATTCTGAGTTCTGAGTGCGTCCGTTGAATATAAGAAAAAGACATCGTTTTTCATTCGTGTGTTTTATTGTTTTAAATTTTTTTTAAACATTTCCTTCTCTTTTTTAAGCCATCGTTAAAAAAACTTTTTGTTTTCAGTTAAAGGCGTTTCGCATGCAAGTAAACTAACATAAAAAGGTGTTAATTCTTGAACCTTTTACATACGCGATTTTGTGTTATACCTCGGATCCAAAGATAAAGTACAAACACGAGCAGTAAACGATTGGCAGACAAACCGACCATAAGAGCCATCGTGTATGAATAAAAGAAAAACATTCGCAATGATTTGGTGGATACAAAACGTCAAATAAATCAAAGATAACGAGTCAGTGCATTGAAAAAGATAATAAAAAAAAGTTAGTTATTAATTTGTAAAGAATAGTTTTTTGAGAATATAGTGACGATTGGATTATTTGCAAACAGTAGCAGAAATATAAAAAAAAACAAACTCAACATGATTATATCACAAAGAACTTTTATTTTTTTGATATTATTTGGTGTGACGAATGTACGGTGTGAGACAACAAAATCAGGTGAGCAATTTTAAAATTGTTTTTCTACGTTGATTTCATTAAATTCAACTATTTGCGAATCAAGCGCCAAATCGAGTGCATCAGGATTGATTTGATTTTGAATGATTTTCACTTCTTGGATGGTTTTCCATTGAGATTAATTTGATTTACCAGAAAAAAGAAAATTATTTTTGAAATTCTCAAAAGCCCATCAGCATTATGATTTTAAAATGTGAGCCAAATTATTGTTTGCAAGCCAAATGAAATGATGGGCGCTAAAATAATTTTCACCTCTAATTTGTTGACGCCGATTGAAAAAGAATTATTCATTATATTTTGAATCCAATTGAGACGAACTAACAAAAACCCAAATAAACGACATGGAACAACTGGCTAAAATATAGCGCATAAATGTAAACGAAAAATGACCTCAATTCGCATATAAATTTATAATTGAAATGTTTCATAACTGCACCAAATTAAAAAGCAGAAGAACTTAAGAATGTGTTAAAGCACACACACACACACACATGGTGGTTTTTTGTTACCCAAATTAAGACTTTTGCTCGTCTGCCTCTATATAGTCGGTTGTTTTTTCTTTCTTTATGTCGGTCTTTTTTGCTTGGCGTTGATTGTTGGTGTCTTGCGGGCCCATTTTCCAAGTTCATGTATGTGCGCTTCAAAATTGAATTGACTTGGAAACATATTTGTCTACCAACTGAATCGTATTTATTCGCCAACAATAAAAACACGTTTCTTTCAGTTACGTCTGGATAAAAATCGGCCTACGGCCGACTAGAAAACAAGAGAATAGAAATTGGGTGGCTTGTGTAAGATTGACCACACGATAAATGAACAAAACGTGAAAAATTAACAGTACCATTTGGTGGTTTTCTTAATGGCGCCAACTTAACGTGATGCAATTTTTATCGGTTCTCATAAAAAAACCATCAATAAATTTCTTCGTTATTCAATTGATTCCGGTCATGACATTGAACTTTATTTTTATTTTTGCAAATGCGCGCACCTCACTGACTGGTTCCGTGGTATGTATCCAAATACATGCCGATACCGCGCGAACAACGGGGAAAAACATCAAAGTACATTGGCATGATGCTTCTGAGCAAATACACACACTTTTTAGAGGTGTTCCCTGAAACGATAAATCAAACTACTTGAAACTACTGTTAACAACTTAAACGAGGCATTAAGTGTTTTCACACATACCATTTGAAGCAACCGGCAACGAGATGTTGATGCTAAACAACAATACCAAAACCAAAGTACCTTCCACATATTTTGCAACCGAAACCGCATATCGCGGAGCGAAAGAGAAATAAACAAATTTAACAATTTAGTCAAATCTAGTGTGAAATGATTGTTTAGTGCATAGAAATTTGATCATGAACCAACATAAAAAAACGTACAATCGATCGAATTTCACAACAGAAAATGCAAATGATTAGATACATTTGGAGATGGTTCGTGAATTGCGTGAAAAAAGAAAATAAAATATTTTTCGTACACGCGATCGCACCACAATCGCACGGAAGTCCATCATTAGCGATGATTTCTTATATAGATGGACAACAAACGATGTGAAAGTGAAAATTTTACAATTTTTTCGAATGAAGAAACGAAATCAAAATGCTAACAAAACAAAATGTGCATGTTTCAACGATGAAATTAACATTGATTTCGTGGAAAACAGGAATAAAACATATGCACCATAACGTAACCAAGTGTCATAATGGTTCACGATATTTGCGATCTCACCAAGAAGAACATGGATTCTATACATCAATAATTAATGTCGAACATGGTGTACATTTTCTTTTTTGTATGCGCTTTCCATTGCGAAAAATGATACTCGATTTTGGTACGCAAACTGATGTCGGCATTGGACACAATTTATATGGTTCAATTTCATTTCAATGATTAAAATAAATAGCCTTTTGGTATTTAGTGGATACAGAATATATCGCCTGACCGGATTTAGTGTGTATGCGCAATTGAAGATAGAAATGACTTGAATAAAACCGATTGAAAGCCGGTCACAGACAAACAAGACACATCACCTAAATTGTGTGGAAGATAAACAGGAAAACATCTGGTCGCATTTTGAAAATGCACTCTGATTTCTCTAGATTTGTGCTGTGTGTGTGTGATGAAACGAGTTGCGACTTTTTGCTATGTGTGCACACACGAGTGCTTGCAATGAAATTCTTTTGCTGCCAATATGCCAATGAAATTCATTTATACAGAGCAAAAAATGTGTATCATGTGTGCTTGACTTTGATATCGAATCAGTTAATAACGATTGCGGTAGAAAAATGAAGACACAGAGAGAGAGTGAGAGAAATGAAATCAAAACTCATCAAAATAGCAGCAGCAGTAGAATTTAAATAAATGAAAAAAAAATTCCAAGATGACTAATTGGCATATGTGCATGCAGAACGATCGGATTAACATATTTTAAAAAAATCAAATCCATGCTTGTTGGATGTATTCTCTGTGTTTCATATCGTGTATGTGCGTCATTTCGCTGAAAAAGGCAATTGAATAATATTTGGTTCAAGCACGTGAGATGTTGCATATGTGACCGTGTGTTTTTGCCGCATATGAACAGTAGAAAATCATTTAAAAAAATCTCACTCTTAAAAAATATCATTCAGCGAAAGAGAAAGAAGTAAGAAATGCGCGTATGCGCTCGGTATAGAACTAGAAATTGATTGAAATAGAAAAAGGCGGTTCACGATACAATGTTTAATGTTGCATTCGATTTCGATTCGATCAGATTTCTATGCGATACATTCATCTTTGATGGTCGTTAAAAGTGAGCCTCACAACCAATTTATCAATCACAATATGATATCCGTGCAACGAGCATTAAAAAAAAGAAAAAGAAACATAATCGTGCGTTTATTGCACACTCACACATACGCCAGGCCGGATCAAGAAAAACAAGTCCAAGAAAGAAGAAAAAAATTGTTGAACACAACTAACCAAACCAATTAAAATGTTGTACACACATACTTTTTTTTTCCTCTGCTGGCCGACTTGAACACCTTGTTTTGGTTTTTCTTATTGTTGTATTTAACACAGAAATTCATGCCATTTTTTTCTCGCTTACTCTTCATCATTTTAATTCTTTTCGTTTGATTGTTTTGTTATTTTACTTTTTTTTAATCGTGCCGTTTGTTGTCGATTGCATTTCATCCACGGCATCGAATAACAATACAGAAAACAAGCTATGCTCACGCGCGTACACACATTCATTCATTTAAACCGGTAAAGATCTATATTAATTTTCACTTTAAATTAATCTATCACAATAAGATCGCACACACACACACACACACCACATATCAAACAATAGATGAAGAAAAGAAAAAAACGACCACGGAACGAGCTACTGTAATTAATAGCCGAGATTTACAATAGAGAGCAAAGCAAATGTACGAATAAACATTAAACAATTACACATGCCGATAGCCACTTGTCTGGAAAACAGGAATTTACCATTTGGTCACGCAGCATGTTCCAATACACAGCTCTGATTAAATGAAAGTGTTCCATTTTCATTTGACCAAATAAAACGCTGAACAATTTTTCTTTATCGATATAGTTGATCTTGATAGCGTCTTTTATTTTCCGACGCGCCATTCCTGAAGATTTCATTCATTCCGTTTGGATTTTTGTCCGATTTCTATTGAGAAAATTCAATCATTTTCTCTTCTCCATTCTCCAAGCGATTCGTATAGAAGAGATCGTTCGAATTATCAACACTTATTCTTTTAATTTACAATAAGTATTCATGTCAAATATTGTTCATAGCCAGATATGTGTGTGTATTTATTACGAACATCGATATCGTTGACTTTCTTTTCACTCACATATGCCAAAAATAAAAACAGAATAGTATTACAAGTACCCCGAATTTCACTAAATCATTCGAATGTTACCCGAATTTTATTATTCCCAGACAAATGATTTCTTTCATTCCCGCACATTCGAAAGAAGCAGTGTAACATTTATAATCGCACACGTTCGAAAATACGAAAGACAAAAAAGGCCATGCATACATTATTATTGAGACGCAATGTGGTTCTTTATTGGTTTCATTCTTATTCAACAAACATAACACCAACAATGTAGGTTAAATTCATAACATACAACACATCCGAAACAAGAATTGAATGCATTAGCTGTGCAACGAAAACGAAAATCCAAAGCCAAACAGCGAAATAACCCAACCCAATTCTTTTGGGTGATACAGCAGAAATCGTTTCAGACGATGAATTCTTTTCGTCAATTACTTGCGATTCTTACGTTTACTCGAGAATCGTTTTCGTATTTAATGTGCAAAAGTGGATTTCAACGTATAAGATCGACTTGAATTTCAATTTTGCTGATCGCAAAATATTCCCAAAGAATGAAAGTGATGGACTCGGTCTGTGTTTCTGGAAGCACTTGACTCAAGTTGAATATTAATCATTCATTTTATAGAATCTTGAACGTTTAAAACTTAAAATTGATATTTTTTATGTGAAAGAAAAGATGAAACAATCAAAATAAAAACAATAAAGAATGAAAAGAAATTCATTTGAACAGAGTTCATTTCTCAATGATGATTTTTCTTTTTTTTAATGAGAAGCTGTTAATTTTCATTGCAATCTTTAATTTGATCTTCTAATTATTTTCATGAAATTAGTTGGCATTTTGTGATCTTTTTGAGGTCGACCATTTGATTTGATTGAAATATATTATTATTCTTTTATATTGAGGATGCTTCAATATTGAAATTTCAATTGCTGATTTCAAATGAAAAATACTTTATTTTTTTTAGCTTCCTGTGTATTGTTCTACATAAAATACATAATACCCTTTTTGGAGTTTTTTTTTTTGTATTTCTAAATTGATTTTTAAGCCAAATGAAATCTAATGATCACATGTTCATCATGATATTGATCAGTTGTTAAGTCATAAATTCAAATTGTTCATCGAAATCATTGTTCTGTAATTCATTTATTTTTCTTTTCGTTGCAGATGTATTATCATATTTGAATGTGTTGGCCTGTTCAATTAATCAGCAACCGTGGGAATGTATTTATCAGCGTTCGGGTCGATTGTTTGATATCATCAATGATGCTCTAGTGGAAAAAGTAAACGAGCTAAAGAGTAAGTGAAAAATAATTGAAAAGAATCGAATCATTTAATGTAAATAAGTTATAATTTAAAGAATCTGGATGGAAAAAGGTGGACTGCGCGACCAATATGCAAAATGAATGATAGAAATAGGCAAATGACATACAAACGAAAAATCGCACAATCATGGAAATGAAATTGGCGATGAAATGAAAAGTTCACGAGAATCGAGAGAGAGAGAGAGAGAGAGAGAGAGAGATGGTCACATGCATATAAAGAAAGAAAGAAAGAAAAACAAAACCGCACGCGAGTTGGCACCGTATGTTTGAATATCAGGTCATGAGATGAACTGAATGTTTGAAATCGTTAGTAAAATGTAAGAGAGAAATAAAAACCGAGATGGCAAAACAACATTTTATATCCTCAATTTGCAAACATTGCAATGCGAAGATGGGAATGGTTTTGCGCGACTTTCGTTTCGGAAAACTACAACGCGCACAAAAATCACACACAAACCTCAGCCCATTCACTAACCTGCATTTTTCCGATAACGACGAAAAACGATACATACCGTTGTGTGCTGTTTTCCACTGTCTTTTCGAAAATATCAAAATGTCATCTCATCTCATCCTCTTGTTCATTCTCGGTGGTGAAGAGCATTGCCAAAGATTGAAGTTCACTGAACAATGGCAATGGCAATGGGTTTTGCGCCGCATTGCGAGAGGCCTTCGGTTCGGTTCACACATCGTTTTTGCCTGACGTTGTACATTTGGCATATATAATTCAATGGCACACGGGCGATCGTGGAAAGATGCATCCAAAATAAGAAGCAGCATAAAAGAGGCAGAAAAAAAGTAAAGAACTGAATATCAAAATCAAATGTATACGAATGCCATCGTTGTCGTCTTCGTCGTTACTTTTTTTTCATAAATAGCAAACGAATCGTGTCCAACGAAACCAATATCACAAGTGAAGAGACATTTCACTTTTGCACCATGATTTACCGAGTCGTTATTTGTTCGAGTGCCTCCGTTGAGACACACGGCATTTAACCATTTCGAAAATATCATCTTCCCTTGATGAGCGCGCGCTCGATCAAAACAGCAGCAGCATCATCATCAAAGCCGAATGCAAAAAAAAAAAACAAAAAAAAAATGCCACAAGAACGGTGATCAAGCATCGCAATAAATATTTAGGATAACAAGCGCAAAAAATGCACAAGTAAACATATACAGAATTGAACAAACATAAATTGTCAGTAAACATTCAAATACATTATACCATGCGCGCTCGATATCATTGCGCATATTGTGCGCGTTTGGCGCATAAACAAAGGCTTTCACCTTTGGCAATATCAAATGAAAATAGAAATACTTTCTGTTTGCTTATGATCATCGATCGATATGTATAGTTTGTTGATGAAGACTTTTTTCCATCTTCTTCTTAATTTTCCGGAACGAAAATGGTAGTACGACCACAAAATCTGGCATTAATTTTGGTTTTGTTTGTCTGTTGCAATGCAACAGTGGGTTACTTGTGCACAATTGAGCGTCTTCTTCTCTCATTGTTAATTCATCAATTATTGGTGCAGAGTTTATCGTTTCGGCATCGGTGCATACTCTGTGTGTGTGGTGTGTGTGTGTTCTCAATGTATAATTATGCCTGTGGCCGCGATGAATCGGATCGTGAATATATTTCGATGTGAACAGATTGTTTTCTTTGTTTCATCTAATTTTTGCGCGAGCGATCTAACCACTTTCTTTCCGCATTCATACTCGCACTCTTTTCCGTGCATATAAAGATAAAGATTTTAAGTCGTAATTCGAGCATGATGGCCACGGGCAATAGATGCACTTCCTTTTCTGTTAGAGAATTTTTTCAGTGAAAACGAAAATTAAGTCTACAAACCAATTGACTTTATTACTATATACATTTTGTGTGTACAGTGCAGCATCTTTTATCTGTCTCTAACACCTGCTTTACACAATTTTGTCTCTCACGATCGGGTCTTTAATCAGTTTAGGGCACAATCAAAACCGATCATTACATCAATTTAAGCCAATTGAAATGTTCAATTTATCCATTGCATACTTTACAATTCGTTATAAAGTCAAGCTCTTTACGACTTACGCCCGTTGAACAATCGAAAACGATGAAACTATGCGAGGCGCAAGCAAACGTCAACATGAAAGGAACATCCAACGAAAAAATCATCAATTTCAATTAATATTCAACGTAGAACATTCCACATAATCGGCTCTACAAATATTGTGAAATCGAAGATGGTTCACATAATTGACATTTATTTAATGAAGAAAAAAAAACGTGATGAAGATGTAGCTTGTGCCGGTTGAGTGATCGTTTGCGCACTTGCGTATTCACGCTCGTTTGCCTTGCAATTTTCAAGTGTTCGTAATGTGCATTTGCTCCAGCAGAATCATCCGATTTGAACACACACACACACACATGGAACAACCAAATCGAGTAAAAACATGCGATTTTCCTATTCGTGAAGCGATTTTCTCTTCAATGGTCTAAAAGACGAGATGCAACATGCATTGGAATACATTCCAAATATGGTGATGATGAGAGAACAAAAAAAGCAAACTGAAACACTTCGAGTGGAAAACAATGCATTTTAATAAGTGACCAATTTTCCAATGTGTTCCATATTTACACGTGTAGATTTAGCCATATTAATGTAAATCACATACAGATATGGAATTAAGGTTCTCTTCAATATAGACTCTTGATGTAGCTCGCTCAAAATCAATCCATCTATTGAATCGAACACATAACAACAGCAACCATAATCGATTTTGACGAATCATTAAAGGCGACAAATAATGCACCGTTTGATGATAATCACCAAAGCATTTCCAACTCTTCCATCCGCATCCACTCGCAAGTGTCTCATTTGATTCGTCAACATATCATTTCCACCTTGACTGCATTTGTGCGGTATATACTACAGTTAAGCGAATACACAAATTATTGGAACGACAGGAAAAAAATAAACAAAAGTGGAAAAGTAAAAAAAAGAAAATATAGCATGAAAGAAATTCGACGAAATCGCCCATATATATATTTTTTGGGTTTGCAAATATGAAATGCGCACCATGTGAGTAAAATGTGTGGAATGAATATGTTTGAACCGTGAGAGATGCTGTTACTTGATGACCTAGTTGACAGATATCATTTCTATGGCTCACGTTCGAATGTAATTTCGATTCGTATGTAGACATGCAATCGATGCGCGGCCTATCTGCTGAGCTATCTTCTAAATACGGTCGCAATGCAGCTATTGAGTGTAACATTATTATGACAATAAAATGACACACATCCAAAGTATCTCTTTCTCTTAACGTTGCATCGAATGAAACGAAATGGTCGCCCGTGAATTAAATAAACAGCTAACTTCGTATCGTTGTTGCCACATGCGCTAATGTTAAAGTGGCAAAAATCTGGTTTGAAAATCGGCTAAACTATAATTGCAGTTCTTTTCTAGTTTGAAAAAGAGAGAAAAATATGTGGAAATATGTACAGATTGCTACCTGGCTGGCACCACGTAACTGGCAAACGGTTATAGGCGCTGTTCGTCTTTTAATTTATTAAAGTGAGTCAAATGGAAATTGACTGTTGTTACTGCTGCCGCTGATGGCGTGAAGTTATGATATCATAATATGATCTATCTTTCATTATTATCATAACGACTATTCTCAATGACGAAAAAATGAAGAATGCCGTGCATCGTCATCATTGCCATCGCTCAGCATCCAAGTGGCATTACAGCTGCCACTGTCGCTGCACCAATTTACAGAACAAAAATTAAGAGTAAGAGCTACAATAATGGAAAAATCAGTTGCTAAACGGTCACGTTTTTTTTTGTGTTATTCGCGCATGATAATAACCGATTCTTTAGTTCTTTGATGTTTGGATAAGTTATATAAAATAACAAAGAATTAGAAACTTTCTCTGAGCGTGAGCGCGTTCTCGCGACATACACCAAAGAGAATCCGTATGAAGAAAAAAGAGCGCAAACCAGAACATAAAAAAAGACACACACGCAACGAGACGCAACATACACAACGTGTGTATTACATTGTTGAGACACTGTTGTTTAATTGAATCTAGACTATTATTATTATTATCATTGCCATTGCCATACTCACACTTATATCGTTCACATCGTTTGTGTGTAAAGCAAATTAATCAGTTTATTGTGTTTGATTTCTGTGTGGATTGTTTTCTTTCTCCCATAATAATCCGCTAAATCCGTCACAATTCGATGCATGCGGTGTGAATGAATCTCACTTCCATGAACAAATCTCTCTCTCTCTCTCTCTACCTTTCTTTGTCTCTTTTTACTTTGGTTTTTGGCTTAAAAACAACACACAACACAATCGGCGATGTTTTTTAAGCAACAAAACAAACTTACAATTTATACATATGTGATCGAATAAAATTGAATACAATAAAAGTACAAATTAGATTCGAGTTTTTTTTAAAAAAAAAAGGCAAGATCAATTTATTTGCTTTCCCGCAGTGCATATGCATGTGTTCGCACATAATTTTCACAATTGCATACATTTCTGCAGAATAAGAAGAGCAAACATACAGAAAAATTTATTGGAATGAATTTGACCTGATAAAATTGAATTTCATTGTTACAGCCGAAGCTGATGTTGAGTTTTCATCAAAATTGAGCGCTCGTGGCATGAGCAATACGGAAATATCTGGGCTAGAGAAACCGTCAACAATGCTTTCATCCCTCGAAGACTATGTGCGAAATGTGTTTAAAAGGTAAGCCAATTCATTCAACCCTCCTCTTTCCGACCATTTTGTAGTTTTTTTTTATTATTCTGGTTTGACTTCTATCGGCGGCTTTGAATGGTTATTATTATTATTATTATTTTTAATACAGCTTTTCGTCGCAAGCATTAGTCGGTGACGAAGATTTAGAAGAGAGCCGCAAAATGAAGGACAAGAAAAAGAAGAAGAAGAAGAAGAAGCCCGAGGTGGTTGAAGTGGTGCAATACCAGAAACCCGAAATTTATCAGCTGGTCGAAGAGATTCCCGATCTTATGCATGGTCACGGTGGGCATGGCGGGCACCATGGCATTATGCATCATATTGGCGGCGGATTACATAAGAAAAAATACGGTAGAAGCATTGGAGGTTTGTTTGGGCGGTTTGAGGCATCCGCTATCTTTTTGGCTTTGGTTCTCTTGAATGCAACATACAGTTTTTGCTAACAACGACAATGGTTGTGTGGTTGGCATCGGTAGATGAATGTTACCGTTGTCGCTTCTAAACTGTTGTTTTTGTTCGGCCGGCTGATTGTCTGCATTTTTTGCACAGTGGCAAACGATATTTGAACAGGTTTGTCATTCGGATACAAACATTCAAACGAAAAAGATCGGAATCCAATGACAGTCGGATTTGAATTTAGTACAAAATGATCTTTTTCGTTTGTTATTCGTTGGTATCGTATACATATCGAATGGTATGTACACCGAAACACACAC